GTAATTAATGACAGAATTTTCATTTTTGGGTGAACTATCCCTTTAAACCCCCTTGTGGTTAAGAACCACTGCTATAGACACCATTATTTAAGTGGCTTATTTGAGACTATTTAGTAATTCAGAAGCAGTTTTCAAGAGTGTCTATAAAACATGCATGTGTGAAAAAATAATACTATGATACTTGGATTTCCAGCGATATCGTTGACTATCGTCGATTGCGAAGATAATATTAAACTGAACTGAGCTGGATGATGACATCACTGAATTCAATGATAAACTGCCTTTAACTGAAAATTGAGTGTTTACTATTGTCCTTTTTTATTAATGACCAGTGTTGGGGAGTAACTAGTTACATGTAACGGAATTACGTAATTTAATTACAAAATAAAAGTAATTGTAATCAGTTACAGTTACTGAGAAAAAATATGTAATTAAATTACAGTTACTTATGAAAATGTTAAGGATTACAAAGGGGGTTACATCTGCTTTTTTCACACACACTCTCACATACAGATTTAATTATTTCTTTCATAAATTGCAGTGACTGCTCTAAAATATTGTTTAGGATTTTGGGGGATTAAAAAAAGGAGTGAATGGATTTTTATCATTGTAGGGTGGTTGTGTCCACACACTGTTAAGATACATTTATATGCAAACACCATGTAAAAGTGAATTTTGCATCCAGTGTCTACTTTAAAATGGAAATATAATCTTAATTCAAGCGATGAAGGATTTCGTAAGTCTGACAGTAATCCGTTGAATACTACTGTAAGGTTAACCCTGCCTGGTTTACATGTTTGAAAATTATAAACAGTTGAAAACATTAGAAATTTAGAAAAGTAATCAAAAAGTAATCAAATGTAATCAGTTACATTACTTTAATAAAGTAATTGAAAAGTTACACTACTTATTACATTTTAAGTATGGTAACTTGTAATCTGTAACCTATTACATTTCCAAAGTAACCTTCCCAACACTGTTGATGACACACTATTTTCCTATTTAATACTGTAAAGCTGCTTTGACACAATCTGTATTGTTAAAAGTGCTATATAAATAAAGGTGACTTATATAGTGTGTGTTAGTAAATACATGTGTTTAGCACATTTCCATTACCTCAAATTAATGATGTGATCTTCATTTCCTCGATTAAGATAAACATCTCCAGGAAACACAAGCAGAAAAGCAAACAATATGAGCAGAATCTCCATGGAGTCTTTGCCTCGGTCCACATAGTCTCCATTGAAAACATAGGGTTTCTCCAATGACGGCATTCCATTCTGGCAAAATAAATAGAGCCCAAATCCATAGGAATAGATATACTTAAAGACATGCTTTATCAGGTTAAGACAATCTTGTAGCTGAGTGTAAAATGATTTAATACATACCTTGTAAAATATTAGTAGCAAGTCTTCTAATTGTCCATGTAAATCACCTGTAATAAAGTTCATAAATGTATTTAGAAGTGGCATCGAATAGTATTATAATAAAAAACTTGAAATGTGTCAGCAACTCTCACCACAAATGGTTATTTCTTTGCTATGGCATGTAGAGACTCGGTTGATATTTGGCAACACTCTGAGCAACTTCCATGTTTCCAGAAGAAGCTGAAGAACGTAACGAGAGTGAAGCTGCTGCTTGGAGAAACCAGAAGTGTACATGGTTATAGACACCGAGCGTTATCTGACTATCATGAAACATATTTAATGCCTCCTCATGGAGCACCTACTTGTTTGTTTTTAAAGGCCTCTACAAGATCAGCAGCCTGATCCATATCTAAAGGAAAGGTTAGCCGTGGACCAGAGTAGATGTCTGGCACATCGATATTGGTGTAAATTTATTTTAAAATGTTGAAAGTTAGTCAACGAAATGTGTTTATTTAAATGTAGCTAAAATAAATTGATTGCAACCACTTACCTTAAATTTTTTTAGTAAATTCAATGAATATTTTTTTATCAGTAATACATAAATAATTTAAGAGGAAGTAACATAATTAAATAGGGCTGAAATTACTAAAAAAAAGTATACTAAGGTAACTAAATAAAATTGGTTAAGTTCAACTAAATTTGTTTGTTTAAATTTAGATCAAATCAATTGATTGCAACCACTTACCTTAAAAAAATTGAGTAAATTCAATGAATCATTTTTTTCAGTGTATCTCTCCCACTCTGCATCTCTGCAAACCTCGTTTTCTCGGAAGATATGTGAGATCAGATTTCCTACATGGTAGAACATATATGATGTGTTTAGCATGGATAAATTCCAGGGGAAAACTATAAATATGTTATGTGTTTATATACAACAGCTTCTTTTACGTTCACTGCTTGATGGAGTGAAGTTATCCATCAGGTAACCAAGAAAATGTTATAACTGTATGAGAAAGTGAGAAAAGAAATGTCACATAGTTGTTCGCAGTTTTCAGAGTTAAATTAAGTAGACTATCAATTACTTCACTCACTCATTCATTCATTTGTTAATTTTTTTATCACTCTTAACCCTGCTAGTTTGCAAGTTTTGGATAGTCTTTACATCTTTCTTTGCTACGCGGAAGTACACTATTTGAATGTGCGTGACTTCCGATTCATTAGCAGCTACAGAAGATTGTCAAAGTGCAGTTAAAGTAAAACGATTTGCGCTACAAACCAATGTGTTTATGATTATGATAATTAATTAAAATAATATGAGGGGAAAAAAATACCAGTTTGCAATATTAAGCAGCAAAACGGACTGTTTTTGTACAGCGGCAAGTTCAAGCTCAAACCGGTGTGCACCGTTTTGCTACGGTTTCCGGTTTGAACGACATGTTTCCTGGAAACGGTATGCAACGGGGTTTGAGATGCGTTTTCTCTTGTTTGGTGGGTGTGTCAAACATGTCAGCCCAATCAGCAGCAACATGTATGTAAACCACACGGTATTAAAGAGACAGCTCGCACAATGTAATTAACATCAAAATAAATTCACAAGAGCAAGTATATTGTTTGCACATGCTTATTTACATTAAAGGCAAAATAACTAAAATAATAAGAGCACAAGTTGGAGGTAAGAAGTGGATTATCCTTAACCTGAAATGTTTGTCTTTTCATCCTGAAATGCGAGGCAAATGTTGGATCACAATAATTAGGAACCACAGTTTCCACAAATCCCTTCATTTGATTGGGATGTTCTCTTTTATTCTGGAGGGCAAGGGCAGTGACTGTACCATCGAGCGTATTTTGCAGTATTAAACACGTATTTATACCGATTTCATCAGGCTCCGAAAATCCTTCAAAAAGAACACAAAGAATGGCCTTCTCAGCTGCCATAGTTGCAACTCTTGCGTCATCATCAGAACAGGGTGTTCAACGCACCACCGTTTCCGTTTAAAAAACGTTTTGCACCGTTTTTGTCGGGGCTGAACGCAGCCCAGGTATAATAACTGGAAGCAGGATACCGGAAGCCGCGCACATTCAAGTTGCAAATGGCTGCGCCCGTTCTTACGTTAAAAATAGTGTGGAGAATGGATTTCTTACTTTGATCTGGTCTTGTAGGTCTGCGTACTCCATGGACTGGAAGATGTTCCAGGTGTATCTGCGTCTCATTTCCATGCGAGCCGCATACTGTCGGTACCAGCGCTGGATCAGCACCGCAGCCTTAATTGCTTTCAAGAGAACACGACTGAGGTCAGACTCAGAAATAAATAGGCTATAATTAAACAGATTTGCTCTAAATGCAATAGTTTTTGTTTCGGGCTTCTAGAATTACACCCAATTTAGCATCATTTGAGAGATTATTGAAAACAAGTTGGTGTAGGATTAGTTTGTACCATTTTTTGCTAGTAAATTTCACAAATAATTACAAAGGAGCAGCTGTTAATCCTTTGAATTAAACGTGGAATGTAAGTAAATGAAGTAAAAAGACTTTCTTGTGAAACATACTCCAATAATGTTTCTTTTATACGCTACAACTTAGACTAGTATTTTTTTTTTATAGTGAAGGCCTATTGAAAGTCTTCTAACTCTGTGTATAGTAGCCTATGTAATACCCAACAATAGTCAAATAGACATCGTGGTCATAAAAGATGAATTTTTCTTACTTATCGCTGCTGCAGACATGCATGAAAAAGAAGACATGTTGAGAATGTAAATGAGGTACTTATATATTGACACTACACAGAAATAGACAACCGTGTTCTAATTCAATAGCTGCGAGAGATAAGGTTTTACACAAGCTTTGCTGGACTGGTAAAAACTCACCTGGGATTACATTTCCATCTGTTTTAAGAAGAGAATTCATTTAGGTCAAGTTATATTCAAGGTAAATAGTCTTGGAATAAAGAGAACTCACTCGTACAGTATATATCATTCTTTGAATGACACTAGCCATTCATATTATTGTTATTGAAAACATTTTACATTGCATTACATTTACATTTAGTCATTTAGCAGACGCTTTTATCCAAAGCGACTTACAAATGAGGACACATTTTTGAGGATTTTACCTTTATCAAATTTTCTATTGAATTCGCTGGTTTTTGTGACACCACACCCCATGGCTTCTCCTGGAGGTAGAAAATATGAAAGTCAGTATAACAAGCATCTCGGAGGTAAGAAGTGGATTATCCTTCACCTGAAATGTTTGTCTTTTCATCCTGAAATGCGAGGCAAATGTTGATCACAATAATTAGGAACCACAGTTTCCACAAATCCCTTCACTCGATTGGGATGTTCTCTTTTATTCTGGAGGGCAAGGGCAGTGACTGTAACATCGAGCGTATTTTGCAATATTAAACACGTATTTATACCGATTTCATCAGGCTCCGAAAATTCTTCAAAAAGAACACAAAGAATGGCCTTCTCAGCTGCCATAGTTGCAACTCTTGCGTCATCATCAGAACAGGGTGTTCAACGCACCACCGTTTCCGTTTAAAAAACGTTTTGCACCGTTTTTGTCGGGGCTGAACGCAGCCCAGGTATAATAACTGGAAGCAGGATACCGGAAGCCGCGCACATTCAAGTTGCAAATGGCTGCGCCCGTTCTTACGTTAAAAATAGTGTGGAGAATGGATTTCTTACTTTGATCTGGTCTTGTAGGTCTGCGTACTCCATGGACTGGAAGATGTTCCAGGTGTATCTGCGTCTCATTTCCATGCGAGCCGCATACTGTCGGTACCAGCGCTGGATCAGCACCGCAGCCTTAATTGCTTTCAAGAGAACACGACTGAGGTCAGACTCAGAAATAAATAGGCTATAATTAAACAGATTTGCTCTAAATGCAATAGTTTTTGTTTCGGGCTTCTAGAATTACACCCAATTTAGCATCATTTGAGAGATTATTGAAAACAAGTTGGTGTAGGATTAGTTTGTACCATTTTTTGCTAGTAAATTTCACAAATAATTACAAAGGAGCAGCTGTTAATCCTTTGAATTAAACGTGGAATGTAAGTAAATGAAGTAAAAAGACTTTCTTGTGAAACATACTCCAATAATGTTTCTTTTATACGCTACAACTTAGACAAGTAATTTTTTTTATAGTGAAGGCCTATTGAAAGTCTTCTAACTCTGTGTATAGTAGCCTATGTAATACCCAACAATAGTCAAATAGACATCGTGGTCATAAAAGATGAATTTTTCTTACTTATCGCTGCTGCAGACATGCATGAAAAAGAAGACATGTTGAGAATGTAAATGAGGTACTTATATATTGACACTACACAGAAATAGACAACCGTGTTCTAATTCAATAGCTGCGAGAGATAAGGTTTTACACAAGCTTTGCTGGACTGGTAAAAACTCACCTGGGATGACATTTCCATCTGTTTTAAGAAGAGAATTCATTTAGGTCAAGTTATATTCAAGGTAAATAGTCTTGGAATAAAGAGAACTCACTCGTACAGTATATATCATTCTTTGAATGACACTAGCCATTCATATTATTGTTATTGAAAACATTTTACATTGCATTACATTTACATTTAGTCATTTAGCAGACGCTTTTATCCAAAGCGACTTACAAATGAGGACACATTTTTGAGGATTTTACCTTTATCAAATTTTCTATTGAATTCGCTGGTTTTTGTGACACCACACCCCATGGCTTCTCCTGGAGGTAGAAAATATGAAAGTCAGTATAACAAGCACTTTTATTAAGCACTTGTATGAAACAATGATTTATATTTGTATATGTTTATTTGATACAAATCACATTACAAAATAATGTGGATTGGATTTGTTAAATGGTTAAGAAACCATTGTACCACTATAAAAAAAATAAAAATAAAAAGCAACCACAAAAAACACTTAATTCAGTAATACACAATTTACACAATACATATTTATATTATTCATTAAATACAAAAATTTAGACCAACAGACGTACTCTAGTAAATCATATTACTGTACTGTACAATATTTTCAAGCTTTTGACAACAGGCTACACTAAATGTCATGTTGTTGCGCACGTTAATGAGATCCAGAGAGCGAGTTAATCTGGGTTCATTGCTCTCTTGCACTGGCCTCAGTCCTCCTTATAGAGCAGACGACGTCAACACGCACCTGTGCTCTGTGAAAGCCCACAAGCTTCAAACCCTCAATGATGGCCCTGCTTCACTATAAACCAGCTTCTGTTATTCATTAAAATAGTTAACATTTGAGTATCTATCTCACAATTTTAAAAAAACATCAAGAGTCAGAGATGAATGGGGGGTATTTTAAGGTATTTGTATTTTTTTTTAGGAAATACTGAATAACTGGGGATTATGGACTATGGATTTATAGACTTATTTGTAAGGAAGGTTATTCATTAGCTCACCAGACATCACAATAATGTAGTGTAGTGTAACAGACATGCTCGTTCTGAGGTTAAATCTCTTAAAAGAGCTGTTGATAAAAGCTCATGCGACGTGAGCTTTGAATCTTGCTCACAGTAAAATTAAGTAAGACTGCTACTATGAAAAATATTCTATGAATTCTACAAATAATAAGACATGATATTTATAACATAATTTAACCCATACTAAATCCTGCCTATTTAAAAAAAATGGTTTAAGATTTCACACCAGTATATCACCATTAATTTAGTTTTAGTATTTGGTACCTTTCTATGTATTTCTTTTTAATTGAATGATAATATGAAGGGCTGTGCAAATCATGTCAGCAAAACAGTGTCCTTAAAACTCCAAGCCATAGAAGGTTGCAGCCAGAGATGATAAATCATGGTAGGTAAAACTCACCTGGTGCGTTTCTCTTTTAATCAAGGAAATCCCAGAAGCTTTATTTCCGTCACATTAACATGTCAACCAAAGGATTGTATCCGCATTCTGTAGCCCATCGGTGCTTGAGTTAGTCAATGCGAAGAGTAGAAATGCAAAAAAAACAGCTTGTAAGGACACAAAGAAAGTATAGTCACATGCTCCCCCATGTCCCCCGAGAAACCTTCAATGTCCTGTGCAAAAATCCACTATTTTCATTCAAAAATAAGAGAAGACCTTGTGTCAAACTCCCGATCACATATTGTGATGAACTACTTCAGTAGGTATGTTTGTTTGTCTGTGTCTTAACAGTCTTCATCTGTGTAGCTGAATTAAGTGAACAAGCTCTGAAGGGATTAAGGGCAATAGCTTGATGCGACTTGACTGGACTTTTGTACAGGAAATGGCACTTTCCTAAAGGAAGTAGGTTGTTGCTTTGTAAAGTAGCATGTAATAAATCCAAAATAATGCAAGACACAAAAATAAATCATTTGAGGTGAAAGCATTTCTTATGATGTGCACAAGATCCAGAAAGCTCCTCAATGATTACAATTAACAATTATTTTAATATTGTATTCAGTTCAATTCAGTACAGTCAGTTCAATTGTGTATTACATGTAGAAGAGAGAGAATCCATCATATATGTTCTTAATGTATAAATATATGTCTTATAAACGTTCAGTAATGCATGCAGTATTATAAAGGCGCTCCGCACCGTGCCTAACAACGCCCCTTAGCTGTTATAAATTCACTGTAAACCACAGCTTCTTGGGGCTTGCTTTAATATATTACAGAAGTATACATTTGTGTGTTGACAAAATAGAGCAAAAATAGCCAATATTATTTCTAGTAATATTAAGTCACTTAATATTAACTTCTTATTTATTAAACAGTTATTAAAATCAGTTATACATTTGCAGTTGTGCTGATATTGGTAATTTTTTTCATGATTCTTTCCAAATATAGCTATTCAAGTCATCAATTAAAAAATCAAGTATTTTCCCTATTGAAACAGGATATAGGCTTTATCACAATATCTTGCAGCACTACTTTTTAGATATTAAAATACGACTCATTTCCATTGTGAAAAGCAGAAGAGAAACAGAAGTTGTTGGGTAGTTCACAACTAAGCTGTGTGAAAATTATGGCTGAGCTGGTCAAGGGAACGAGTCATTCCATCACATACAGATCTGTAAACAGAAAAGAAAGACTGTAACTGTAGACTGTAACAAAAATGTCAGTCACAGTTCCATCACTAATGATTGCAAGAAACAGAAGTTTCCAAAGTATAGAAAAGACATGCGACCTAGTTAGTCACACCAATTCATGTGATGCTCCTTGCAAAAGCTGACAGACTGATGTCAACGGAGTATTGCGAAATTCCAAAATAATGTCAAAATAATATCAGAAAAGCCATAGCAAACTCTTACATTATGACAGAAATGTTGTTTCATCCAACAAAATCACTTATATTACCAAACCAGCCAACTGGACATCATGAAAGCATACCATATAACATGACGGTGGTAATGTATGTAAAATCAATCTTAAGCGGCATATGTTTAATGAAAATGTGTTTTCACATTTTTTTTATGTTTTAAAATATGTTTTAAAAATCATGTAGTGTTATGGTTTGTTCTTACATCTCTGACAACTGTTGTGTACTTCTCAGGAGTGGCGGCACTCATGACGGCTGTATAAACGGTGATCCTGGAAGGAAGATCATACTCACATTAAAAAGCTTTATTACAGAATGTGACCTTAAGAGACACCTCTTTAACTAACACTTATACAGTGGGGAGATACAGTCCCCTCCACTAATATTGGCACCCTTGGTAAATATGAGCAAAGGCGGCTGTGAAAATAAATCTGCATTGTTTATCCTTTTGATCTTTCATTCAAAAAATTCACAAAATTCTAACCTATCACTGAAGTAATAAATGTTTTAGCACTCCAGGGTGACTAGGAGCATGAAATTGTCCAGCCATGACTTCCTGTTCCACAGGATTATAAATATGAGGAACACAAAGGCCCAATTCCCTTATTCACCCATCACAAGGAGTAAAACCAAAGAATATAGTTCTGATGTGCAGAACAAGGTTGTTGAGCTTCGCAAAATAGAAAGTGGCTGTAAAAAAGAGCTAAAGCATTGAAAATCCCCATTTCCATCAACAAAGCAACAATTAAGGGGTTCCAATCAACTAAAGATGATACAAATCTGCCTGGAAGAGGATGTGTGTCTATAACATCCTAATACACGCCGAGGAGGAGAGCTTGAGTTGCCAAAGACTCTCCAAGGATCACAGCTGGAGAATTGCAGAGATTAGTTGAGTCTTGGGGTCAAAAAGCCTTGTTTGGGAGGGTTTCAAGAAAAGTTCTCCTCACTCATCCAAAAACAAACTCCATATTCAGTTGTCAGACATGACTTCAAATGGCACTGGCTTCTATGGTCGGATGAAACTTAAAAAAAAAAAAGAGCTTTTTGGCAGCAAACCCACCAGATAGGTTTAGTACTGTACAAACAGGGATAAAAAGCATCCCATGCCCACGGTTAAATATACTGCTGGATCTTTAATGTTGTGGGCCTGTTTTTCTGCCGGAGGTCCTGGACATCTTATTTAGATGCATGGCATCATGGATTCTATCAAATACCAACAGATAAAAAATCTAAACCTGACTGCCTCTGTTAAAAATCTTATAATGGGCCATGGTTGGATCTTCCATCAGGACAATTATCCAAACCAAACATCAAAATCAACACAAAAATGGGTCAAATGAGCACAAAATGAAGCTTTGGCATGGCCGTCGCAGTCCTCTGACCTGAACCCTATAGAAAATGAGTGGGGTGAACTGAAGAGAAGCATATTTCAAATTTTTGAGGGCATTTTGGTGGCAATGGTTCTCTTTCTTCTCTGCATTTCTACTCTATTCTAGCTTGTTTCCAAATCTAGCTTTCTTGTAAAGCTGCAATTTTAGATTATTAATATTGTTGGCTCTGGGAATAATTGCTTTTGTCCCTTTATGGAGATTGTTTTTGGAAAAGTGTCTGCTAAATGAATGTCGTCATCATATGGTTACAAAGTGAAAGTGAAGTGACATGTGGCCAAGTATGGTGACCCATACTCGGAATTAGTGCTCTGCATTTATCCCATCCAAAGTGCACACACACAGCAGTGAACACACACACACCATGAACACACACCCGGAGCAGTGGGCAGCCATTTTTTTGCTGCGGCGCCCGGGGAGCAGTTGGGGGTTCGCCCCCCCCCCGACAACCCCGGCCGGTACGAGACTCGAACCCACAACCTTTGGGTTACGAGTCCGACTCTCTAACCATTAGGCCACGACTTCCCCCAGTCGAACCCACCAGTACCACTTGGCAATATATCAGCTTTGACAAGCAATGGTAAGTTAGTAAAGCTAGATGAGTTGAGAATCAGTGTTGAGTTGTTGGGCACCAGACATAAATGAGGGTGAGAGTTCAACAGAGATCAATGCTTGGACTGTTCTAATTTACAGCTGAGTGGCTTAAACAATGAGTGTCTGTGAAGTTGTAAGTGTGAATAGGCAGAAGCTTCACATGACTGGTTTCTGCAGACTCTTCAGGAAATTCCTAAATTCTGCATTGCATTGTTAGATTCTAATATTATAACCTCCATGAGGAGGAAGTGTGCTTATGTTTATACTACTGGTTACCACATACGAGAAATGAGCACTCTACATGAGGCCATTACACAACCATAAAATATCATGTGATAGGTGAAATGCTGCATTACTCTCCTCCTTACCTATTACATACTGGATCCATGGATAAAACCTGTAACAATGAAAAATAAATGATCACTTAACACATCAGTCAATAAATTATGTAATAGGATTGCATGCTTTCACAAACACAAGGGAAGTCTCATTAAAGTTTCATCTTTTTTAATATCTAAATCCAGAAATTACTATGATAATAACAAACAAGGACACATTTTGTAGTACATTATTAACAATGTAGGACAGAAATAAATGCCACAACCTATGACAATAATAGGCAGCCAAAATGGATTTATTCATTTACCTGATACAGAGAATCCATACTAATATGGTTTTGACCAGTGGCATTCAGTGCTTTCATGGCCACATCTCTGAAACAAGACCAGGAAATGTGAAAAGCAATCCCTAAATTGTTCGGTTAAATAATCACACATTTGTGCTTTCACGTTATTGATAAAAATGTATTGTCTGCTTGCCTTCGGTCGTCTCGTTTAGGGGCGGGTAGCCAGTGGTCATAATTGGTTTCAACTCTATACCAGCTATAATAAGCAACAGTAAAAATCAGAGGCTTAGTAATGTAAAAACCTTAAGGAAAAAACTAGTATTATATGAATGAGAGCCTAATGTTGCACTGGCATCGCTTTATTTCTTTCATTTTAATTTATGTAATTAAAAAATGATGGTTGGTGCTTACTATCCATTAAGTGGATCAAGAGGCCATATGTCAGCTGATCCGCTCCGGTCTCTGGTTATGACCACACCCTCACCAGCATGAACACCACCCAAAATGTAATAAACATCTGTAATTATCGGCACCTTGGCCAGTCTCAATACTGCATCCTGGAAATCCACAGCTGCTTCAAGAGTCTAAAGAAATCAAAAATATACAGATGTATTCAATGCAAAAGTCTCTTAACAGTCAAAGAGTTATTTTTGCACCAGTAAGTAAATGTATTTTGAAATACTGAATTATATTTAGAATTTTATATACATTTGTTCTCTCACCTCTCGCACTAGCCAGCTAACTGGAGAACTTTTTAATAAAACTGCTGAAATTACATTCTCCCACCAATGTCCCTTATCTGTAGAAATATAGATATAAATTAAAACCCCACAAAATTCACTAGACCATGTCTTTTTAAAAAATCAACCTACTGCGTTCGTTGCCAGACACTGTAAACTTGTTGGGGCTCTGTCCTGTCCACAGCCCAACATAACCAGCAAAAGTGGTTCCTCTGTATGCCACCTGGAGAGAAACGACTTGCAGATTCAAGAGTATAATATAATACAATACAATGTAATATATAATTTAATAATACCTTTCCATTTTTAATAAAAAGTACATCTAGAGTAAGATTTCTGAGCACATCGTGGGGATAATCCAGGTTTCTGCCATGGTATATATTGCCCTTTGTATCCTGAGTTACAATACTGGTGCAAAAGCTATTTAAAAAAAGCAAAGCAGCCACAATTAATGTTGAAAAAAAAGTTGACAACTAAAACACTTCAAGAGAGCTACTGTACCAAAAAGCGAAGTACTTACGCAGATACTTCATAGGCAAAGTTCAACAGCACAATATCTGCAATGTCAGTGCCATAGAAGGATGCCATGCCCTGTATTTCTCCAGCATACGGCTGTGGGATGTATTTCTCCAGAGCGTTCACTATCGGTTTAACTGCATCATGAACCCATTTGGGAACAGTTGAGCTGCAAAAGAGGGTTTGTAAGACATATATGTGGATCTAGGGTGATGACAAACAAAATTTACGAAGTTAAAGAACATATGGTAACACTTTAGTACAGGGACTAATTCTCACTATATTAACTAGGCTAGTTGCTTATTAGCATGCCTATTATTAACATATTGGCTGTTTATTAGTACTTATAAAGCACATATTCTTCATGACCATATTCTACATCCCTAATCCTACCCAATACATAAACGTAACAACTACCTAACTAACTATTACTAACAAATTAGAAGTTTATTCAGGCGAGAATTGGACTTTAAAATAATATGTGGAATGTGACCGAATATTTCATTTAAAAAATAGAGGGGATGTCAGCAGCGCTTTATTTTTTTATCACGTTGCAAACTTAAGTATTTGGTGACATTCTGTGATATTTGATTGCAAATTCTGTAAATGTTTTAAACTTGTCAGCTAGGTAAAATGATTTAATGGCTAAACTGGTTCTGGTCAAAATTGCAAGAATGCAAACCAAAGCTACATGTTCTCGTAGCGTGCGTGTGGTTATCAGACTGTCTGATACTTACTCGATCACTTCAGATGCGGCTTTTCTCAAGAAATCGATGTCATAGAGGTTCTTCAGAGGAGTCCATCGCTGATATGCAGGCACGTCCAGACTGATGTTTACCACTGGAGGAGAGAAATCAGCTGTCGATACGCAGAAAACTGTCATGCCGAGGATCAGACAAATCTCTAGCTTCATGGTGAATACTGAACACTAACTTTGTGATGGTGACATCTGAACACTCAAGAAATCGATGTCATAGAGTTTCTTCAGAGGAGTCCATCGCTGATATGCAGGCACGTCCAGACTGATGTTTACCACTGGAGGAGAGAAATCAGCTGTCGATACGCAGAAATCTGTCATGCCGAGGATCAGACAAATCTCTAGCTTCATGGTGAATACTGAACACTAACTTTGTGATGGTAACATCTGAACATGCGAAACCAAAGACTCCTTCACGCTCTGCCCAACTTCTGTATTTGAAAACGGAACTGAAGTGATTGTTGTGACAGTAACATATTAGCCAGAAGGGGGTGGTGTCCACTGTCCACACACTTGTGCCTAACTAAAGTCCCTTTTTTTGGTTTATTGCGGTGTGAAATCAAATAAAAGTGCTTCACGAGTAAAGTTTCGCAGTGAATAAAGGTTCTGTTAATCATGAAGCTTGGTCCGTCCGATTAATGTTTCCATCCTGGAATCATTTCAGTACAGTACAGTTCGCGTTATTTAGGCTATGGGTATATTTGAAGATTTTCATTGGTTCGCCATTTACATGTTTCTGTGGTCGCAATTATTCATTCAACAAAATCTAAAAAGTAAAAGAAAAACGTATAGGCTAATCAAAATATTTAAGAAAATATTTATTACATTTCTAACGATACAGCCATGATGTCAAACCCAGAAGATTAATGGTCCGTCCGATTAATGTTTCCATCCTGGAATCATTTCAGTACAGTACAGTTCGCGTTATTTAGGCTATGGGTATATTTGAAGATTTTCATTGGTTCGCCATTTACATGTTTCTGTGGTCGCAATTATTCATTCAACAAAATCTAAAAAGTAAAAGAAAAACGTATAGGCTAATCAAAAATATTTAAGAAAATATTTATTACATTTCTAACGATACAGCCATGATGTCAAACCCAGAAGATTAATTCTTCATGGGTTCCCTCGAGACGTTCCTGGGATTCAATTCATGAGTACGGTCCGTGCTAAACATACTTGACGATACATGGGCTTTTTGTAATAGAACATAAACTGTAGTATGCACAGTTACACACCGTTCTTATATTTACCGATTACAAACATACGTTTAAAAAAATATGCATACATAACTACAATTTACAAAAACGATTGTTGATTAATATATATATTTTTACTACAGATTTAAATGTAAAACATTTTTTTAAAAGAAAACAGAACGCGACATTTTTTATTATAATGTAATGTAGCTTTTTTCTTTCTTTCTTTCTTTTTTTTTTTCCTGGTAGGACTCTTGCGTGGAATTCTCGCAAAGCGCATGCGCACTCGAGTCCACAAGCGTGAAAGTTATATCAGCAGCTGTTTGACAGCAGAGAGCGCATGCATGTGTTTACTGTTGCGTTGCCACCCACACCGTCAGGAGCGATTTTAGAGTAAGTTTGCTTGTTGTCAAGAATATTTTTACTGATGTGTGTTTTTGCGATCCATGTAGGATAAACACTGGGCTTTTTGCACATCAAATGCTGCTGATCATCACCGCATTTACACAGTGCGCTTAGATGACATACGTTATGTCACTAAAGTTTGTTGTTTTCTTAGGTGTTTGCATTGACGGCATGTATAAATGTTTTATTTAGTGATGCTCACATTCTTAAGATCATTTACAAATATCTTCCCTCGGAAAGTGTGTTTTCCCCTCAAAACACTTTCAGTTTTAATGTGTCCGCAAAGACATTTAATGTTGTTGTCCTTGAGGAGGAGTCTTGATATAATAAATGTCATTTCCGGACGTTAGCTAAGCAGATTAAAAACTAACTTTTCCATTAACCTTATTCCTGTAAGAATCTCTATTCATATTTGTAGCCCTTTCTCTGCGGTGTTGTTACAAACGAGTGTGACTATGTTAACGGCAGCTGTCATTTCACACATTCTCGTGTTTTAGCAGCAAGGTTCTGTCCAGATAAATCATGAAGATCGCTGTTCTTGGCGCGACTGGTCAGACCGGGCAGCAGCTGGTCAATCAGGCTCTTCAGCAAGGACACTGCGTCACGGCCGTCGTCAGAACCCCGGGAAAACTGACGCTGACGCACGAGAACCTCAAGGTAAATTGTAGGAGGAAAGCTTAAAGTTATATATTGTTATTGTTTTTGTAAAAGCATAGTGAAATTTTGAAATACTTTTTGTTACATTGTTTATGAATTGCTCCCAGGTATAAGTAATGGGTTAGACTGCAGATTCACAATAACATAATTTTGCAAGGTCCTTGACAAAATGAATAGTTTATATGAGTATAATAGTCTGAGCTATTCATTAGCTCATATTTTCTTTCTTATCTAGTTGACTAAAGTCTGCACAATGGTAAATGCTGAAATGACTATTTGGTTTAGAATTGGAATAATGTTAAAGAGTTCCAAGTCACCAAGGTGAAAATGTTAACTTTTTAATGCATAACTCACTGTATACTGTATGCAAGTGTTTGTTTTATATTTTATTTTAGTTGTTATATACGTTTTTGTACAGTACCACTGAAAACGACAGCTAAAATTTTGCATAAGAGTCACAAGGGTGGCATCAAATTTCAATGTGTTTCATTTATGGGTTGAAATCATCACATGATTTGCTTGCCACATTTTTGTGCTGGAAGTAAAGGTTTTTAAGGACGGTTATCCAGACACAGCAATTCCAAATAATGATATGATTTACACTAAGCTGCCTGCTGTAGCAGTGCAATGTAGATAATATTTCATGTGTTCCAGTCCAGATGATGCACATTTTATCTCTTAGATTTTCAGTAATCAGTAGCTACAGCTAGCATGCAGCCTCAACCATGTACTGTTTAACCTCATGCCCTCGTGTGACAGGTGGTTGAAGCAGACATTTTCTCAGAAGACTGCCTGAAACCGCACTTCAAAGGTCAGGATGCTGTGTTGTCCTGTCTTGGCTTTCCAATCTCATTTTTTTACGGAGTCACTGGCTACACCCAGTCTATGAAGGCAGCATTAAATGCTATGCGTGAAGTCAAAGTCAATCGAATCATCACCATGACCTCATGGTACACTGACCGTAAGTGCTGTTATTATGTATGGTATGCACAACTGAAGGGTCTTTTCCTCACAGTATGTTTGGTGATCATTTGACTGGTGTAGTAATTGGATTGCTATGACATTCTTCACAGCTGATTCAGGCTCCAATTCTTCCTTTCTCATCCGCTTCATGTTGCTTCCCATGATTAGAAGTGTTTTGAACAACATGTATGAAATGGAAAACTTTCTCAAGCAGACTGACGACATCAACTGGACTGTTGTCCGTCCTCCTGGTCTGAAGAATATGCCAACAACAGGTGGGATCTATTAATAAAACACAAACTTCAATATGTTAGGGCTGCACAATTATGACAAAAATCATAATTGTCAATTATTCCCTTAAAATTGTAATTGCGATTATTAATTACGATTATCACAATTTACATTGAATGATGTTTATACCATTGTTTGATGCAACTGCATGCCGTATTTTTATATGAAAATAAACAAGCTGAAAACACTCCAACTGAAAAACCTTTAGTGCTTTTCTATAGTATTAAGCCAAATATACATCAGACTGGTTTCTTCTTTAAATGATAAAAAAGTAAAAATATGAATGGTATTATAATGTTATACTAAAACTAAGACAATGGAAAAATCCTTAAGATAATATGTAGGAAAAAAAAAACATCTTAAGCGTGCAGAATAACATAAGTGGACTTTGAACGATTACGTAATTGTGGCATCCATAATTGTAATCGTGATTAGAAATTCGATTAATTGTGCAGCCCTACAATATATATATATATATATGTGTGTGTGTGTGTGTGTGCTGTCAAACGATTAATCGCGATTAATTGCATCCAAAGTTTTTGTTTGCATAATATATGTATGTGTACTATGTATATTTATTATGTATATATAAATACACAAACATACAGTATATATTTTGAAAATATTTGAAGATATTTGCATGCATATACATTTATGTATTTATATTCTTATATTTTATATAAATATATTTAATATATAGACATAACATATTTTTCTTAAATATATACATGCATGTGGTTGTATTTATATATGCATAATAAATATTATGTATATATAAATACACAAACATACAGTATATATTTTGAAAATATTTGAAGATATTTGCATGCATATACATTTATGTATTTATATTCTTATATTTTATATAAATATATTTAATATATAGACATAACATATTTTTCTTAAATATATACATGCATGTGGTTGTATTTATATATGCATAATAAATATACACAGTATACACACACATATTATGTAAACAAAAACTTATTTTGGATAGCACTAATATATATATATGCTTTCTTCAACTGTTGGTAGCATTTAACATTAAGTAATATGTAAAATGCTTATTGACAAATGAATCCTTATTGGAAGTTTGCTTTTGCTGCAAAGCCATTAGATTACCACAAATTGTAGTGTTATTTTTCTTGTTGTTTTCAAAGCCAACGAGTTCCTCACTCATGAAGGTTATTATGTCCCTGATGAAAATGGTCTGCCGGTTGGTCAGTCTGTGTCAAGAGGAGATGCGGCTCGTTTCATGCTCTCTGTACTCAGTAACAATGCTTGGATGAAGAAAGCTGTTGCTATCATCACCAAATGAGTTTGCACTTCACTTTATCATTACTTTTATAACACTTGCCAAAGAGCTTTTAACAGTTTAATTCAATTGATAAAACATTTTAACTTACAGTACTTATTCAGTACATCTGACTTTGTCACACATAGCAGTCAGCAAAGACTTTTGTCAACGTTTGTCGTATACATACATTTTCCATATACTACTTTCTAAAGGATTTTAAGGGGTTTCTCAATACCAAAGAAGGGTTAGCAGAATTACAAGAAAATATAATTCATAAAACATTTTGTTGCCCATTGTTTGGGACATTTTGTAATGTAAATGGGTATTGAAATGAAAATGAAGAGCAAAGAAATGACAATTAACTGCATGTGCTCTTTTCTTCTTCTCAAACATACTGTATATGAATTGTGGAATTAAATGTCAACAGTCACATTTTTAATAAGAAAACGTACTTATTTATAATCGTTATTAGTTTACTAATATCAGGCCTATATGCATATTCGTTTATGTTGATTTACTGCATAACACAAAACACATCAGTGTTGTGATGTCCTTTCTAACTTTTCTCATTAAGAGTTTTACAATATATTACTGACGATACATGAACATCATTCTTGACTTTCTAAGCTATAATCCTGTCTAACAGTGCAGGTTATTGATTTCTTTGTATTATTATTTTTTTTACTTTTTGAATATTTTATGTTCATGTATTACATATCTATTGTTTTTTTTTTTTTTGCAGCACACAGATTTTGCAGTTTTACATTTACATTACATAAATTCTTAGAAGTTCAGTTTAAAATTATGGCTATATTTGAAAGTTAAATAGTGCATCAGCACACTGATTTTGGCCTACTATTAAACATATAGTTGTAAGCTATGTATGAAAATGTAAAAATGCATCAATGAAGTACACTACAGCAAAATATAATAAAATGTCTTTAGAGAAGACCTGTAGTTCCTTACACAAACCACTAGATGGCTCTTCACATTGCTTAAAGCCACTGGAAGTACTGGCTTGCATTTGCTGAAACAGCCAGTTTAGCATGGACACACAGAAATCCCATTTTTGGAGCCAAATTCTTGGTGACCTTCTTTGCCATTATTGCTGGTTGTTTGTTGTTGAGCAGGTGAATGAATTAAATTGTTCTTTAAGATGCAGTCTGCTATGAACTTTATGCAACTGGTGTGAACCGAGAGCCCAGTGTTGCTCTGTTTTTAATAAACTGCTTGTATACCCTGCCTATGCCTTGAGAATACGTTATCAAGTCCTACATTAAGTGTCTTAAGCTGATAGCTACCCAATATAATTAAGAAAAGCTCTTGTGTTTTTTCTTTTCTTTTGTTATCGTTCTTGACGATAAAGGTATGGTTTAAAAAATAAGAACAGCTTTCTTATTGTTGAAGTGAGGGCCAAAGGTCAAAAGCAACAACTTTATAAACGCAGAGCAGCTTGAACATTCTGCTAAATATTTGCTTTTTTGTTGCCTGGAAGTTTTAAAAAAAACACAGGTTTCAAACAACATGAGAGTAAATGATGACAGAATTTTCATTTTGGAATCAACTAGACTTGTGTACGATTTCACTCAGTAAATAGGGATGTTGTAATTTTCTAAATAAAAGAGTTAAATCCAAAACCAACGCAATTTTTGGGGACAAAGTTTTTAAGCCAGTCAGTCTATTTTGCAAAAGCCAAAGGCAATCAGCGCACCCCCATGAAGAGATCCAGAGCCAGTCTGACCAGTCATTAACCTGCCCAGGTCAGATGGATGAAATGCACAACCTTTGACCTAATTAGTACTATATTCATTTTGAGCACAAAGGTGTAAGACGGTGGGAATAGATGTAGTTGATTCTTGTGTTTGAATCAAAGTCCAGTTTCTGATGTCATCTACTGGCCAGTGATATAGTGAATGAAAATGGTTCTTTTCCAGCACTTTTATTACTGGTGAAGTTATGCAAGGTGAACTGATGACTTCATTTGATTGAATGTACTGTACATAGATTGTGATCTGAGGACTTTGTCCTTAATGGACAGATATCATGTTTGATAATCAGAACAGCAATAACCAGGCTGTTGAGGAAAATGATTAATGTGTCATGTTGAAGGGATAAGTTCAATAACTGGGGGACATGAGAATTATTTACATTTTAGTATAAAAATATTTAGGGGAAAAAAGTTACTATAGCACTATACCATTCCCAAATCTTACAGCATATTATTCAATTTTTAAAGTTTATTATTTTATTTACAAGCCATTGCAGGTATATTATTCAGAAAAAAATATATATTTTAAAAAGAATATTAAAATATCTATTACTTATACCATGTACAAAATTAACTTTGGCATACAAAAAAATGTTTAGCTTAAAAGTGTTTGATCCTTTTGGCATGTGCATCTGATGGGCCCTTTCTAAATAAATGGTCACATGAAAAAAATGATGCACTGCCACATCATACCCAGCTTTTTTAGGACAGCTTTTGTGATTCCTTTTGCGTTTTCCAAAGTACATTTACATTTATTAATTTAATTCAATTCAAGTTTATTTGTATAGCGCTTTTCACAATAATTTTATCAGTGAAGAAATTCATAAAGTCATTACTATTAAACTGTGAGGGAATATTTAGATCGGGTGGCGTCTGGTTATTTGTTAATCTAGCCACTGTGCTAAATAAAAACCTTGGATTGTTTTGGTTATTTTCTATGAGTTTGTGGATATGCTCGGCCCTGGCAGCTTTTAGAGCCTGTCTATAGCTGGACATTCTGTTTTTCCACGCAATTCTAAAAATTTCCAAGTTAGTTTTTCTCCATTTGCACTCAAGATTACGAGTTTCTTTCTTGAGAGAATGGGTATGGCGCAGTACGTTTTTCTCTAACCTTTTTCAATTTGATGGGGGCAACAGCTTCTAATGTATTAGAGAAGATAGTGCCCATGTTGCTAGTCATTTCGTCTACTTCATGTGTATTTATGGGTACAGAAAGCAGTTGCATTTAGCAGATGCTTTTATCCAAGGCGTCTTAAAAATGAGGAATACAACAAGTGATTCATCTTAAGGAGGCAATAAACAGGAATATTATACGTGCTAATACAAAGTTTCAGACATTGTTCAGAATAGTACAAGCCTTGAAAGCTTGAAAGAGGGGGATTAAAGCTGATAAATTTTTCAGATGGATGTAGTTAGGAAGTCAGATTACAAAAGTAAGAATTCTATACATATAGGCAGAATAATGAGCTGTAATTTAACCTAGATGTCATTGTATATCCTAAAATCTAATCTCTCAACTACTTCTTCACATATCATCTGTGTCAGAAGAAATACTTTAAATAATTATAGTTCATTGGCTTCTATTTATGGGTACAGAAAGCAGTTGCATTTAGCAGATGCTTTTATCCAAGGCGTCTTAAAAATGAGGAATACAACAAGTGATTCATCTTAAGGAGGCAATAAACAGGAATATTATACGTGCTAATACAAAGTTTCAGACATTGTTCAGAATAGTACAAGCCTTGAAAGCTTGAAAGAGGGGGATTAAAGCTGATAAATTTTTCAGATGGATGTAGTTAGGAAGTCAGATTACAAAAGTAAGAATTCTATACATATAGGCAGAATAATGAGCTGTAATTTAACCTAGATGTCATTGTATATCCTAAAATCTAATCTCTCAACTACTTCTTCAATAATGAGCTGTAATTTAACCTGTCAGTCATTGTATATCCTAAAATCTAATCTCTCAACTACTTCTTCACATATCATCTGTGTCAGAAGAAATACTTTAAATAATTATAGTTCATTGGCTTCTACAGCTGCCTGTAACACCAGACATGTTCAATTATATAAAAAAAAAGACCTTCCAACAATTGGTAATGCAGAACACAAAACAGATCATTCTCAATGAAACTGTCTGAAAAGGTGAACAAAAGAAGACGCTTTTATGAAGGGATGATGTTTCTTGCTTACCTCAAAACTGGTTCGGGAACACAATATAAACAATACCTGGGGGCGGGGAGGAGATAAACCACTGTGTGCCTGTAGTGTTGTACCTTATTAGAGAGACATGTTGTTTTGTTTGAGAACAGACAGGAACATATCATCAGGAGGTTTCCCTGCATCTACTCATACTATTGCCACTCCCATAGTCAGAAATGTAGACAAAAAAAACTATTCATAAAAGAAACAAAGCAAATAGATTCTAATAAATACTTAACCAATAGAGTTTAATAATTCTGAGGAAATAAGTCTCTATATTTCACAATTCAGATTTTTCCTTTCTCCCTCAAAGACAGTTTACACCTCTCAATTATGTTTTTTATTTTTTATTCCATAAGGTAGTCATATATAAAAGGAACCAAACAAATGCATACTTTACTCATAGAGTTCTAATAATATTATTTATTTATATATTCCAGCATATAATCTCCACTCTCATAAATATTCAATGTGCTGGGTGAAATTTGAACAGCAAGAGAACAAACAATTGTCACACGTGCTTCTTTACAATTAGGCTGTAACTGTTTGAAGTACCAACAATACTCAGTGTGCAAGCAACAGTATTAATCTGTACAGATAGTATGAGACTCAATCTAAGCCTATTACTATTTAGACAAATTGACTTCATCACAGATCTTATATTAACAGTAATATGCACAGTAATTGCCCAGTAATACCACTTACATATATGTATACAATCAAGTCCAATTTCATATATTGTACAGAATATACAGAACCAGTTATAATGGCAAATAGATAGATATAAAACTGATTAATCAGAGCTTTGTAGAAGGTAAGGTCCCACTTTATATTAAGTGGCCTTAACTACTATGTACTTACATTTAAATTAATTATTTGGTACAATGCACTTATTGTGTACATACATGTTTTACATTGTACATATATTTAAAAAAAAACTGCATGTAATTACATCTGTAGCCCACTTTATATTAAGTGGCCTTAACTACTATGTACTTACATTTAAATTAATAATTTGGTACAATGCACTTATTGTGTACATACATGTTTTACATTGTACATATATTAAAAAAAAACCTGCATGTAATTACATCTGTAATGAATTTCTGTAATTACATTTATAATTACACTGTTGACCCATCCCTTTCATCTTAACCCACCCTTAAACCTACCCATACCCCCAAACCTGTCCCTAACCTTACCTGTATCCCACCTTAATAGCAGCAAATGTGTTTTGCAATACAATATAAACGCAATATGTACATTGTACTTATTTTTTGATGTAAGTATACATAGTAGTTAAGGCCACTTAATATAAAGTGTGACCGAAGGTAATAAATCTATTGGTATAAAAAGATCTAAAGTTTGACTTGTGTTATAATAGTGAGGTCCATTGGAAGCCCTGGAGTGAGCAAAATACAGATTACTTGTCAAAGGCAAAAGACTATGATTCCAGTGTAGTCAGCCATTTAATTCCCACAGTTTCATTTGAGTTCTTCTGTTATTCACCATAAAATTTGTTTATATATTCTTCGTACATTTTACTGACGACGGGTCTTTTGAGCTTCATGGTTGGACCTGAGAAAAACAACAACAACAACAAAAACTTCACATTCAAATCTAATAGATCCATCAGACTGTTTACATCAGGGGTCTCCAAACTTTTTGTGAGTGAAGGCTCCCTGAATGGATAAAATAGTCTCAAGGGCTACTTGTTTGATATACTCCAATACATACATATATATATATATATATATTTATTTTTCTTCTCTAATATCATGATATCTTGCATTTTATGCAAAAATGCATTTTATTTTCCCCTAAATTCTGTGTTTTCCATTTGATTTCTTATGAATTCTGTGTTTTATGATTCAGTACAAATTTATCATAAAAAATTGTGTCTAGTGAAATGAATTAATAAAACTTTAACAATTTAATCAATCTTTTAAAATGTATTCAAATGAAAATCAATTTACAACAAAAATTATTTTTTTATTTTATTTTATCAGACATGATTTTCAAACATATAAATTGCATAGGCTAATTGTTTAACAAACAAGCCCAAGTATGCATGTACTGCATCCAATCAGTCATCACAACGTTACTACACACACACACACACACTGCAGAGGCGCTGGTGCTGATGTAAACCTGCTAATTATGTTGCTTTTTCCTATCACTTATATTGGGCACTTTTTGCATTTAAATTGGATTATTCTGACTGCTGACATTGAAAATGATGCATTTCTTGATTGCCTGTCTGCCTGAATATTTTATTCATGATTGGTAGCCTAATTCCCTTTAATGTAGGCAATTTGCACCGATTCGATCCGTTTACCTGGGAAATTTAGCCTATCTAGCGTTATAGCTATAAATTATTTTGTTTTAAGGAGTTAAAAATGGCCCTTGATTTACATATCCCATCACATTATTTTGTGGAAAATAATGTGTTTTTTTAACTTTAAACCGCATAAACACATTTCATTACACCAAATACACAAAATACTGTTCTTTTTAGCAGCATCATATGACCCCTTTAAAGTTTTGGCCGGTTTTTGTGAGCTTTTGGGCTGGAAATCGTCCATCCAATCTGCGACATGCAATTAGCGACATGCACTGACTGGTTGCTGTAACATTTATTTCTGTTGTGATTAATCCATATTGAGTAAAAATGTCCAGAGTTTATCATCATTATTAACATACATTTTTATCATAATCTCGATATCATTTATCGCCCGACGCTAATTTAGGCTATTTATAGAACGTGCTTGGCGGGCGACTCAGAGACTCCATGCGGGCTACCAGGTGCCCACGGGCACCACGTTGGTGACCACTGGTTTACATAGTTGACAATAATTATGCGTTTAGGAATGCAGTTAGGCAAATATATGTTCAGTACGTTCTGTAAAGAAACATGTGAGACCTACTGATACAAATGTTTCTCATAGTTGTAAAAGTACTTCTGCAGTACTTTACAAAAATATAATAATCTTGGACATCCATTTATTAGATGCAGTTTGTCAATAAACTCACTTGTTCTGTTTTATATCCTTGTCTATATGAAGAAATAATACTCACCAAGTTCTCCGCCAGATATGGAGAAGTCTCGTTGAAGGATGGTCCACTTCTGGACTCTCTGGGCATTGGATGTGGCTTTGGCATTTACACGGTCTATGCCCTCCTGGATGGTTTTGTAAATGGCTGGTTCTTTTTTGTTAACGATCTCTGAAACTTTGCTGGCAATTACACCGTGCTGCCGACAATACTCCACCGCTAATGGGGTCAGTTCATCTGTGGGGTCTCCATTGTCATCAACGTTACACTAAAAAGAAAAGAAAATTAACAACATACATTGTGAAAATTGGAGATTTAGCAAAGATTTTTTGATAGTTGATGGTATGAATGTATCAGTTGGTAAAATGTGCACATTTAATGGTCTCATTAAAAGAATAGTTCACACAAAAATTTAAATTTGCTAAAAAAAAAAAAAAAATTCTCACCCTCAGGCCATCCAAAGTGGTGAGTTTGTTCCTTCATTGGAACAGGTTTGGAGAAATTTAGCATGACGTGTGGAAAGGATCCTCTGTGATCCTCAAGTATAATGCTAAATTTCTCCAAATCTGTTCAACAAGCTCCTGAGGGTGAGCAAATTTTCATTTTTTAGTGAACTATTCGTTTAAGTAAATGTAGACTCACCTTGAGTGTGAGTAGCATAGACAGAAACTTCTTTTTGTCTCCAACCAGCATGACATTGCTGATGATTGACACCTCCTCTTTTAGGGTGTCCTCAATAGGGACGGGTGGTACATTTTCTCCACCAGCAGTAATGATTAATTCTGCAAGAATAAGGTCATTAGATACACATGTATAAACAAATGTTTACAGGTTGTCGCACTGCAGTTTATGCATTTATCTTAATTAAATTATTTTCTTCTCACAGTAATATGGGCGTTATCCAAAGGCAGAGAAAGCAACAATCCAATTCATTTTCTCCATAAGGGAACTGACTCATAAACATTTGAAGACAGACCTATTGTGAGATATAAGGTTGTTAACTGATGGTACATGGTTTTGTTGAAGCCATTAGCCCCTGCTTTTTTTTATTATTGTGTTTAACAGCTAAATGGCTGGTGAAAAACTACCAATTACCCATGATTCTGCAAAGAAATCTATACCAATCAGAGAATCACAATTGTACCAAAAGAGCTCTATATAATGTATTACATTTTGGAAGTAACTTGCCCAACACTGCAATTGACATATGCTCTCAAACTACTGAAGTATTTGTATATGTATACATATTCCAAAAGAGCTCTTTAGTGCCTGCTCACTGCCATAAAGCACTACAATTGACATATGCTCTCAAACTACTGAAGTATTTGTATATGTATACATATTTTGCAATAAACATTTCATTTCTATATACATAATCAACAACTTTAAATCAGCAGTTTTACATTTATGATCATTTTCATTTTGAATGTTTGGTTCGCAGTATTCCATGTTTGTTTGTTCCATTAAGTACAAAGTATTGCACCTTCATCTTTTGGTCAGATACATTTTTTCTTCAAGTCAAAGTTGGTAATGTTGTGATTCACCCCATAGCTGGTTGATTTGGTTTACTGCTTACCAGAATCGGAATCAGAAATAGATTTGTTGCCAAGTGTGGTTATATACACAAGGAATTCGTCTTGGTGTCAGGAGCTTCCAGTACATAAAGTATAACTCTTTAACAGACTTTACTTAAAGGCAGCGGCTATGACAGCGATAGATGCTATTTACACTAACTGGAAATAGCATATTTTCTTAGCGATAGATGCTATTTACACTAAGTGAAAATGGCAGTATTTTTAACAATATGCTATTTACACTAAGTGCAGATAGCGATAGATTCTATTTACACTATGTTAAAATAGCAGGGCTTTCTGCTATTTATACTACTTATTGCAAATAGTGGCAATTATCTGCAACTCAGTATTATAGTACATTATAAAACAGTATGCAGTAATAATGTATTAGTGTAAATTATAATTTTATTTCAGATTATTAAATGCATGCCACCTTATTGGGACAATAAAGCCCTCCCTACACCTACCCTAATCCTACCCGATACTTTATTTTCAATTTTTTTTTATTATTTCCTTAATGTTTTATTGAAAATAAATGCCTTTCCGATGTGATATGAGATTTGAAAAGGGAGACTGTATCCAGTGCCTCCTCAGTCTTTTCTGGCATGTTCAGGTATCCCATAAACACATGCCTCCCCCAGAAACATATCTCACCGGTCCCATCAGTATCTGGCTTGTCTAACTTAGTTTTGCAGCCAGTCAACACCTTACCACAACTGCAAGAGAACAAAACATGAATGTCACATACAACTGTCATCTGCAAATACTGCTAATGTAACCAATGATTTTTAACCAATAAGTGGATGTTTGAAGTCAAGTTCACAAGTAGAGTTCATCACATCACAATACAAACATGTTGGAGGAATGTATCAAACTATTTCGGTGGTCCTGCTTGAAGAGTAAGGGAGATTTTTACTTTTTCTGTTCCAGCTCCTGTATTGTGAAACAAATTGCCACTTTCTTTAAAATCCTCTCCATGTATTGACACTTTTGGCCTCTATTTGTTTTGGCTTTTGATCTGAATATTGTGAATGATATGTAGCAGCCAGGATGGACGAGGCGAAGTATTATAGTGTTATTTTAACACTGCTATCTATATTCATGCTATTATGGAATTGTTTTAGTTTTACAGCATTTTTGTGTACAGCACTTTCTGTCATGTGGAAAAAGATACCAAAACTAAAACAATCAAACAATGCCTTTAATCGTTTAAAGGAACAGTTCATCCAAAAGTAAAAGTTCTGGTAAAAAATTCTTTAAAAAAAATTTGTTCTTTAAAGTGAAGTGAGTATAACAACAACAACAAAAAAATCCTTTAAAAAATATATGTAATTTCAAATACAGCAGGAATGTTAACCCTCAATCGGTCCCTGGGGTCAAAATGACCCCAATCAACTTTTACTTAGTTATAAAAAAAATGGTTCCCTTCATCTCAGTGGAATAAGATTTTGTGACTTTTCAACATTTTCTATCTGTATTCACATTAAAAAAACGGGCTTGATTCGGTTGTTCTGAAGGTATGTAAAACATTTTTTTACAAATCTGGTCTTTGGGGTCAATATGACCCCAATTGAAAATGAATGGGAAATGCGAAAAAATCTCTATTTTTTTTTTTCATTTGTCAAAAATAAAAAATCTATAAATCCAGCATAAATCTGAAAATTTCCACACAGAAATGAAGGCCTGGTACTAGAGCACAAATGCAATGTAGAAAAGACATGCTCACTCACATGCACATGCGCACACACACAGGAGTGAATGCAACAGAGGGCATTTTTATAGAAATTGGCAAATAAAATCAATAAATCCTGCATAAATCTGAAAATGTCCACAAAAACGAAGGCCTGATACTAGAACACAAATACAGTGTGGAACGAGCATACTCACTCATGTACATACACACACGTGCACACACTCTCTCACACACACACACACACCCACCATTCATATCTTGATTGAGCGATTACATGAGACAGGATACAGATTGTAAAGTTGTACTCTTTCTTTTAACTTACCTTCGGATGTTTAGTCATGTTTATTTTGTGCTGAAACTGGTATTAATGTGGAGGAGATGATCAGTTCACGTGCACGTCACGCGCTGCCGCGTCTGTTGAATTGAGGCGCTACAGCGATCTGTCACTTCACATTAAACAGCGCCAAAACGGCATTTATTGTTTGAATACTGCAATACCATGGACAGAATTTGAAATCTGAGAGTTTGTTCCATATTAAAAGTACCAAAGCACAATGCTTATTGCGATATATTGGATGGGAAGTGCCCTTCAATTTTCCGTCCATTAACTGAAAACAGGCTAGACTAATCGATTCTTGGGATAAGAATTGATATCGTTCCGTAAAAATGATAATCGATTAATATCGAGATATAGATATTTTTTACCCAGCCCTAGTCATTACACTATTCTTTCAAAAACTCTAATTTCTACAAGTTTTTCTCTAACCAGCAGATGGCAGAATTCTACACCTAATACCTATATCAATATCCAGAAACAACTTAAATCAAATTTAGATCATCATTTAAGTGATTTTTTCATAAAAATGTGACATTTCACATGCAAGCTAATGGTGTACTTGAGGAATTTTGTGGTAAATAGGTACAAAAGTACTTCGTATATTCACCCAAAACACAGCTTTAATGTATAGATGAGAAGTAAACAAAAAAAATGATATATTATTTGTATGATTAAAAATTAATAAATTTTTTACAATAACTCTATAAATTTTGGGGTCATATTTACCCCAAAGACCAGAAGTGTAAACAGGAAATGGGGACCATCTGAGGGTTAATACATAAAGCACATCATGCCTCTGACCTCATAATGCGATAACCCTCAGCCCAGGAGATGGAGTGAGGTCCAGTGCTCTCGCTCATGCCGTACAACTCAAAGAGGGGGATGTAAAGGCTCATGAAGTACTCCAGTGTGTCTTTGGTGATTGGAGCTGCACCTGTAAAACAAGTCCTACAGCGGTCAAGACCCAGAGCTTTTCTTACGTTCTTGAAAACCAGGGCATTCGCCAACGTGAAGCCCCACGGCACTGAGGAATCACTGTAGAGAAATAAAATGAGCTGTGAGATTCTTTCGAGTGATTCAATTTTTATAATTTAATTATAATTTATCCTTTTAAAACTCACCCATTCATGGCATTATAGCTAGCTTGAAGTCCGATCCCCTTGGCCCAGTCTGCAATCTTCTTTTTTGTGACAGACGACTTTGCACCAACGGCTTTCATTGCTTCCTGCATTTTTTCCCACACTCGAGGAACTCCCAAGAAGCTCGTGGGACGCACCTCTCTCAGAGTGTTGGCCAGGGAGCCCTACAGTGAGTTTTTACAGTTTATAGTTAATAAGTTGTGTTTCCTCATTTGTAGAAAAGTGTCTGCTGAATGAATTAATGAAAAATGTAGAAAAATGTATATTTCCAAAAGTAAATAGTGGAAGCATCTTAAAAGCTGGAGTTTTACCTTCAGGGCATCCGGCTCGGCAAAATTGGTTATGCCGGCAAACCTCATGCAGATCCACATGTCTTGGACCTGGGCTGCCACGTGACTCAAGGGCAAGTAGCTCACGAGTTCTTCCTCAGCCATCTTCAGATAGATCATGCGACCTGCTGCGCTGGCTGTCCAAGTGATCTGAACAGAGGAGGGATGAATATAAGGCACAGCTTATCAAATGTGATTAATTACATTTGGCATTGACGTAAGTGCTGAACTATTCGCTTTATGTGACACTTTAATTGGTATTTACATTATCATGGCTGAGCATGACCCCTTTGGGATTCCCTGTGGTGCCTGATGTGTAGATTAATGTGCAGCACTCGTTGGCCTTTTGACAGTCTATCAACACATCCAGCTCAGAATCAGGAACATTTGCTCCAAACTTCATGAATTCAGCCCACTGAGAGAACATCAAATTGAAGCATATATCAGGAGCACGGTTTGATTATTTGGTTAGAAGACATACTGGAAATATTTTGCTGTTTACATTAATTTTCCTTGACTGGCTTTTTGTGGAAAAAAACCCCTGTACATTCTGATACTTTCTTGTTTGGGAACAAACAATACTGATCTGTAATTATCAGTGAACCTGCATTATCTGTATTTACTTACATGTACATGTTTTGTACAACCATTTAGCATTCAGAGCCATTTTTATTGTATTATTTGGCAAAAGCTTACCGTATATACGTTTGGTAACTTCTGCTCCAGTTCGCCCTTGTACTGAACAATAGCCTTCAAATGTGGCAGCTGATCTCTGACCTGTGAGGAGAGTGAAAGAAAACTGATTAGTATTTTATAAGAAGATTCAGTCATTTATATATATATATACACTATATGCTAGCTGAAATAACTAAATGTTAACATACAGAACCATTTGTAAAGTGTTACAAAAGATTCATAGATAAGAACTTTCAGACTTTATTACAAAATAAACAGGGTTTAAACAGGGTGACAGGGTTTTTGTACTTCATTCAGGAAAACATTAGTACGTTATGTTTTCTAACAAGATCACGCTTGTTCATAATAACAATCATATCTGAAGGAAGTGACATGTTTAGTGGAGTTGATTTTACAGGTGGTGTAATGGATAAATGATTAAACTTTCTATTTGAACTCACTGTTCCACACTCTAAGATAGGCCTAATATTTAGTAATCTAATTATTTCACTGAATTATTAAATCAGTCATCTATTTTAACCAGTATGTTTTCTTGTTGAATTTTTATCTTTCCAACTCCATCCGTTTTATTTTTGAGAACTTGACTCATAACTGTTAATACACTTTTTGTTATTAAAAGAATACTATTATAATACCTCTGTACTAGCAATTCTGGAACTTTTTATTGCATCACTTCTCATGTTAATGTCTTTCTAGGATGAATCACCTGTAGCATTAATCATCTACTAAATGAAAGCTGTTCAACTACCTGGAGGATTTTGACCAGTTGTTTGTTGTTTTCCACAACTAGAACATTAGCTTCACAGTTATGAGCGACATACTGGCAGGCCTCTGGAGAGTTAGTGGTGTAGATTCCAGTGGCCAGTCCCCTGTGACAAAACAAGATCAGATCCCACATTCTATCCAGACTTCTTTTGCTCATTCTCTAACCTTATGTAGATTAACTTTTAACAGATTAAATGAATACACTCCGTCAATACCCTGCTAGGATACATCCAACGTCGGCTATAAACCATTCAGGAGAATTGAAGCCCAGAATACCAACACCATGGAATCGCTCCAGGCCAAGCTAGAGTACACAAAGAGCACAATGACTGAATATGCAAAATCAATTCACCTACTAGAGCTGTTTGAAACTTTGGTGCAACAATGAATCTAGAGCTGTAAAAGCTTTGAATCCTTAAAACCTCAAGCCAATAGTTTGATCATTTCACAAATGATATAGGAAATGTCATTCAAAGGAACTTCCAAAACAAACATTCTAGATTAACTTAAGCAAATACTAATTACACCACAGTGCCATTTTTACACCATTCCATGCATGAAGTAAACAGCTATCAAGTAACAATACATTTCATACACTGTAAAAAAGATTTCTGAAAAGCTTTTGAAATTCATTTTTAAAGATGAAAAGATGTGACGGCGAACCTTCAGAAAGCTTTTGGCTGCCGCTCTTGCATGTTGATAGTACTCCTTATAGGTCAGAGTGACCCACATTCCATCTTTCTTCGCACGGAGGGCAGGATAGTCTCCGTACTTCTGCACTGTAGCCAGGAACATCTGATGGATCGTCATTGGAGGTTCTGAGCCCAGTCCCGATGTCTCCATCCTCAGTTTGACAGGCTTGTCTCTGGCTGTGCTCCACAGCTCCTGGGCTTGAGCGAGACGCACATCTCCAGTCGTCAATGGTATTTCCGGTTCATCGCCTTTATGATCCGAACAGCAAGGACACACAGGAGACATAATTATATTTTACAAGTGCTTCTGAAAGGTATTGCAAATTTGTAGATGAAGCTTCTGCATGCTAAGCAAGAAAAGATCAGTCCATTCAGGCAGCTGCCCTTGCCTCCTGTCACACACTCAGAAAAACACTGAGGAACTAACAGCTTTACAAGAGTGCAGAAATAGGTCAGGTTACTGACAGGATATGGTATGTGTTTCTCACCAATCAGGTTTCACACGGTTATATAGCAGGTTAAAAAAAATCGACAGAACAAATTCTGTTTTTATTATTAACTTGTACGGTTTAATATATTACAAAGAAACAGCAAGTATCACATAAAATTAAACATTACATTTTGAAGTAGAAAGACCGAAATGGTATTTTCTTGTTAAATTAAAAACTCCAATTTCAAAAAATAATTTATGCTGCAGCTACATTTATAAATTATATTTGATATATTTTCATCCTAATTTTTTAATGATTGTAATTATACGATTAAAAAAGTCAAAAGTGACAATCAGAAATAATATAATTTGTAATTTTCACAAGAATGTATTTTGTGAAAAATCTATTTTTTTATATTTGTCAGCAAGGACAACATGACTAATGCACACTGAATGCTCTTCAGTATTTATGCAAAATAGTTGCATTTTCAATATGCAAACCTATTGTGAACATTCATGTGAAGACTGTACCTGTGTTATTCTTCATGACAGGGAATGAGCAATCCCCATTTGGTTGGTTTTTGGAGTTATGGAGTGCTACAGTCTGATATTCTTCAGTTTTAACAGAACTAGCAAGAAAGACAAATAAAACTTATTACAGGATATCATAATTTATACATCAGCAAAAAAATAAAAAATAAAAAAATCAAATAAGCAGTACATTATCAGGTACTACAATATTGGAGGTGGACAGAGATTACATTTTCATTGATCAAGTCTACATACCTTTCAGTATCATTTCCAGAGACCGGGATTTCCTTGGAATCACTCTGTGATATACACTCATCGGCAGTCATTGTACAGAGTCTTAAGATGACAACAAAATAAAATATTATTACAAGATCTTGCGTTACAAAGTAATGGCCAAATACAATAAAGAAAAAATATAATACAAATGTCTAATATCTTCTATTCAGTCAAAAGACTCTTAACACTAGTGGTTTCAAAATGTCATTTATCTTTTATATGTACCCCAGCTCTTGCAAAATAGTAAGCAATATGTGCCAGTGGATAGAGTGCCAGATGATGAAAGCAGCAAACAAGAGGTTACTGTCAATGACTAGCCTTTCACCAACATTAGGAAATTCAGATTAAGACAGTATTACCGGTACGTTAAATAGTCTAATGTGCAAATCTTTAAATCTAGAATTAAACATGAAAAATACATGTGTTTGTTTGCAAAAGTTTAGTCATACAACATATGTGCATTTGTGAAGTCTGTATAAGTATGCCATCTAGAGTATGTTGAAGTAATTAGTACGTTTGACATTTAAAGGGATAGTTCACACAAAAATGAAAGTTCTGTCATCATGTAAGTCCCACTCCACTTGTTCCAAACCTGTATGAGCTTCTGCTGAGCACAAAATAAATTATTTTAAAGAATGTTGGTAACCAAACAGTTGACGGTAGACATTGCCATCAATAGTTTTTTCCCCTCCTCAAACAATGGAAGTCAATGGCTACCATGAACTGTATGGTTACTGACATTCTACTAACATTCTTCATGATGACAGTGAAAATTCTGTCATCATCGAGAATGTTGGTAACCAAACAGTTGACGGTAGACATTGCCATCAATCGTTTTTTCCCTCCTCAAACAATGGAAATCAATGGCTACCATGAACTGTATGGTTACTGACATTCTATTAACATTCTTCATGATGACAGTGAACATTCTGTCATCATCATTTACTCACCCTGAAGTTGTTACAAACCTGTATGACTATTCTTCAAAATATCTTTAAAGATAGTCATACAGGTTTGTAACAACTTCAGGGTGAGTAAATGATGATGACAGAATTTTCACTTTTGGGTGAACTATCCCTTTAAGCTGAGTAGAATGGACATTGCATTTTTATAAGACATATTTTTATAACAGTTTAAAGAAAATTAATAAAAGTTGTTTTTTTTTCATCCTGGGAATGATGCCTCCAGAAGTTCATAACTTGACTACTCAAGATTGCAAAAGGACAAAGTTCATGATAATTACAACACAAGTGTGGCCACATCATGATCTGTGTCCAAGTGAACTTGATGAGAAAACTCGGAGACTGACACAGTTCATTACCGACAAGGACAATGATATAGGCCTCAGTAATCTTGTGAAATAATTTGATGGTTTTAAGGAATTGGATCCTAATCTGTACTTAAAGGTGTGGGAGTTGAGGTGTCAGGTTCAATATTCATTCATTGATTCACATGGGCAGCTATTCACAAAACACCATGGTATTGTTCTACTGAATCAAAGCATTATGCATTAAAAAAAATCAGGAAATGGAAATGCACTCGCTTGTAAAAAAAAAAGAAAAAAGAATAACATGATCATATGCAGTTCTATAATGAATTATATTCATCATATTTAAAGTGACACATGACCACCTGACGACAAAGCAGAAGACAAGAGAAACATAATTTACAATATATATACCATATATACAGTAGGCATATTGTCACACTATATGGGGTAAATCACAGTGGAAATCAATTACGTAACTAAAAACAATGAATGAAATAACAAACAAGGTAAATAACATACAAAGCATAGTTTCGTCCCACAAATAACCATTAGAATTTTATCTAGGCTATTTGTAATTTTTAAAACGCACGTGACAACTTGCCTCAACCAGACATTTGAAAAATAGGCTACCTTTATAGGCCTACTTCACGGGGGAAAAAATTATTAAATAGAATGAAATAAAATCTACCTTGTGACAACTAGGCTATATTGAAAATATCACCCCTACGTAAACAACTAATTATTAACCGGAATATTTGCTAGACACCTAGGTATAAATTCTACTTTGACGGTTTACCTCAAGGACACCTGCAGAAAATTCATTCGTATGATGAGTTTGCAAACGTATTATCTTTATAACATACACATTTAACTAGCCTACTAATGTTAACAAAAAGTCATCAAAGTTGACTTACATGTTCGAACGGGTTTTTTCCTGTCAGTGCTGTTGGAAATTGTGTAGTTTTCAGAGCAGGTGTGAATGACACAGATTTTTGCCCTATGTTTCTCAGGTGGAATAACGTAGTGCGTCTACTGTTCCATTCAAACCTATGACCGCACAGTACCATCATGTCACGTGACGTGTGGAGCAGGTGACAGGACTTCACTGCTGGGGCAAGTTCAAGCTCAAACCGGTGTGCACCATTTTGTTACGTTTTCCGGTTTGAACGACATGTTTCCTGGAAACGGTGTGGCTGGTGTCTGCGTTTATATTTCCATTATTAAACAAACGATTTAATTGCCACAGCACCATATATATACTTTTAAAAAAAATCAAGAATATAATTGTCAACGAAATGTATTTTTGACGGTTTTCTTTTTTAAACAATACACATACAACTTATGATATTAATGTCTGTCACAGACTTAATACGGAAATTAAAGAAATTTGATCATATCTCTGGCATGTCATGTAAACATTCTACAGCTGATATTTAAATAAAATTTGCGTTCTAAAATAACTTCCTATTCAAGTTGTACTGTACGGCATTTGCAAGACATTTCAACAGCAAATATCTGTATTAATATTCATTCATTCATGTTTGCACACTTGCTTTTGATATTTCACGTTATAGAGATTGCGAGACAAGATAAATTAAGAGCGGTTTATTGATCAACACGTTGTTCACATTTACATGTTACATAAGCTCCAAGGTCACAAAGTCGATAGTATGAAAGAGATTGTGATTCCACATAATTTTCGAGCAGATGAGATAAAGCAAAACTCATTATTGACAAGACATCTGTGGACATTTACTATTTTGCAACCTTCACCTAATAAAAATCCATAACATATGCTAGATAAAATTACCATTATATTTTTACTACACTCCAGAAATCCCAGTATGTTTTGTTAAATTTAGATTAAATCAATATGTATTAAACTGAATTATAAAAGGCTCAAAGTTGTTTGTTTAAACTATTAAGATTATTATTGTTCTGTATCACATTTCTTCTTCTAGTCAGCACAGACATGATGTGTTGCCTGTACAGATGCATCTGATGTTTCAGCAAATAGGACGAAAGTTCACTTAATATAAACACTCATGAGCGACCCATAGAAATCAGCCCACTGGACATCAAGGTCGCTCGATCACACCACCTTCATCAGTTAATAGATCTACAGGATGACCTTAGCTGAGGCCAAACCAGGTCTAATACAAGATTTCAGATCGTATGTTTTTATTTCAGCACGTCCTGAAATGTGTCTTCATGGTATAAACACCGGGGCCCTTATTCATGGAACATGGGCAGAAGGAACTGCTGTGTATTTTAAATCATTTATAATATGAATTATATGTAAACTGTCCCATTGACTTGAATGCAACAATTTATGCAAGAATATGCTTTGCAAGAAATTCGTTCTGCTTGCATTTCATGACTAAAAACCATTGTGCATTAACTTCCTATTTATATATTTCCTGTCCTTTTTTTGCATTTTTTGCATATGCCAAACATTTAATACCCATTGTGCAAAAAGCCAGTATCAACCTGTGAACCTTGCAAAATTCACCAGAACATTTTTATTACCCAGTGAATGACTGGAAGACTGAAAACCAGTAAAATTAATTTTAATGTAGAAAATAGTTCCCACTCTCTCATTATTTGACAAAATTTTTTTTTGGTAATTTCCAACAAATTTTCATTTTGTATATCAGTTATGCTTGTCTCCTCCAAAACTGCAGACCATTACTTTTATTCTGACAGAAGGTCCATCTATCCTGGAGGCCATTTCATTTGCCGTCCTCCGAGAACATGAATGTGAAGGTGATACACGGACTGTGCCCCATTTTTTCCATCATTAATGACTGTAAATAACAATGACAGATAATTAAACAAATAATACATTCTTTAAAGGTAATGACATGTTAATATTATAGTGCACTATACTAAATAAACTGCAGATATTAACCCTATAGAGCCTACTGTATTATATTTGATACACAAATTTCTACAGCCTTTAAATGATCAACATTATCAAAACTTGTACTCAATCTACTACATGCCTTCATCGACTGATAGTTTATACTTTTTTAGCAAGTAAAGGCCTTTTAGTATAATTGTAAATATGTCAACCTTTAGGTCGTTGTAGAGTACATGTGTCTTTTTATAAATTAAACGTAAGAATAACTTGTTAGTAATACCTCAAAAATAAACACTAACTGGAATGAAATGAGATTTACTTGATTATCTATACATCATTGATGCACATCAATATTTATATGTATTTTACGTAAGTAGTCTGCTAGACTGTTACAAAAACCTTAATTTACATTACAAGCTAACAGAATGCCATCTTACTTTTTGGCCACATAAATATCAGCAACTGCACCAAGTTGCATATTTTTGCTTAGTGAGGTGTTTTTTCCACCTTGATTATGAGCTCCATATTCTTCTACATCATACTATTTGAGCCACAATTTTTTCTGACTCTTATTTTACATGCTAAGCTTTACAGGTTTAAGATGATAGATGATTAAATGAACCCTTTTCAAACAAAGCATATTTTGCTCACCAACTCTGTATCCTTCATCCAGTCCTTCTTTCTTTGCTACATTTTTGGCCACTATCAAAAGATGACCCAGGAGCTGGAGGAAAATGTCAAGATCTTAGAGGTGTGTCATCCTCTGTAATTATCAAAACTAGAAATTAATAAAATGTATGTGGACAGACAAACCGATGCATCATCATCATGTGCTTCACTGATCCTGGGAATGGGAATCCTTGGAATAACCAGAAAATGCACAGGAGCCTGGGGATTTACATCTCTGAAAGCTAGACACTGCAACAACATATACATATATTATATGTAAACTGAAAAAAAATCTGAATTAAGATAAATAAATCACAATATGTTACTTAACAGTATATTTAAGCAAAGGTCCTAAAGGCTTGTGGTCTGCAACTTACCTTGTCATCCTCATAAATGATAACTGCAGGGATAGTTTTGTCAATTATTTTAGAAAATATAGTGGGTTCAGGTTTCCGTATTTCCTGCTGGCTTCCTGTGCCAAGCGAACCTCGTCGCGCGTGGAAGAGCAAACAGTCTGATACAAACAGGCAAACAAACAAAACCTCAGAAACAGTATCTCTGAATGTCTAAAACATGTACACAGCAGATGAAGTCTTCTGCGCACTTCAAATTCACAGACCGCACTTAAACTCTAACAGCGTGTTCATAAAATAGAATTAAACACCTTCACAGGTAAGACACGCCGTAAATGATGTCCAAGAGGCAAAACCTGCCGGGTTAGTAAAATACCGCGAGCTGTCATTGCACTGTTTTAAGGACAAACAGCGTCCATATCCCATGGAAATCCACCTCTCACGTGCTGCTGCTGAGGATTTGTTTACATCCGGTTCTCAAAAGTTATGCGGTTTTCAAAATAACAGTTTCCTTTGAATTACAGAATAAGTGAAAAAAAAGAAAAACTTCATTATGCATATTTTAGTTTCACAATTTTTTTTTTTTTTTTTGAGGTGAGATGTGTCCCTTAATATCTTCGTGAGATTCACAATTTGCGTATTGAATTAGCATAACATACTTTCATTCAAATGCATATATTGAACAATGAACATATACGATTATGCATACAAATATACAAAAAAGGGACAAGAAAAAACTACAAAAATAAATAAATACATCAATCAATCAATCATATAAAAATCAGAATAAGGGTATAAATAATGTTACATAATAAATATTTTTTATTTTATTTATTTATTTTTTGTTTAGTACATTTTTTATGCGTTTATGAATGTGAAATTTGGTCAATTTTGATTAATTTAATAAAATAATTGTCATTCTTTTTAGAATATTCGATATATTTAGAAAATTCGAGTTTATTTTCCTGTAAAAGTTAGAGAGGTCTTGAACAGTGAATATTTGCATTGATACATTTCTGTATAGCACAGTATAACTGAATAAGTACAATGCCAAAAGCAAAACAGTTTCATAGTTTCATAGCTATTACAAAAATAGATGTTTATGTTACTCTATTTTAGTTTATCTTTATTATTTTTTATTTCTGTCAAGAATGGTTTACTGGATATAGATTTGTGTATAAGAGATTCACTTTTTATTATTATTATTATTATTATTATTAATGCCAAAATACTTTTTATAACAAGTATATCCGTTGCCATGACTTATCGCGAGAGGCAAAAGGTTACGGTTTAGTCGCATAACATTGGTTAATGGAAACGCTGTCATTTAGCAATACTTTTTTATCGACATTTATAAAATATCGCCAAAGTTTTGCGCAAATCTGTAATGGAAACGCGCAGAGAGATTCACACATTTACCATCAGACGATTGCTCTTATTCTCCTCTCATCCGCTCCAGCAGACGGCAGCAGACAAACACAGTGGCACTGAATGACAGGAGAAGAACTCTGAAGATCATGCGGGAGAAACATGGCGTCCTGCAGCAGGTTGCTCTCGCATCCTTTCCTCTTCAGTGTGTCGGTACGCCTCGCCTGTAACAGAAATGTCCAGGTTGAGGCTTCCACAGCAAAGACTTTATATCCACCCATTCTGCCCTCCCGCACCGCGAAGAGTAAGGCGGCGAAGCGACGCGTGGTCACGGAGGTCTTCGAGCAGCTGCGCTCCTGCACGGCGCAGGAGAAGATCCGAGCGCTCACTCGCGTTCAGCGCAAGAAGTACGTGATTTACCCACGCACATTTGCTCTCAACCCGGACAAGTGGTATCAGCACTATACCAAAACGGCGTTTCTCAACGGACTGCCCGAGAAGCACGAGTCTGCGTCGATGGTGGATGAGTCTGTGCTGTCTGAGGTGCGATCTGTAGTCTGCAACTCCATTCTACAAGAACACTGGCACGCGAAGAAAGGGAGGACTTTCATCCAGAAAGAGCAAGAGCAACTTGTCACTCCGTTTCTAAGGAACGCGGTGTGTGGTCTGAAAAACCTTCTGGCCAAAGAAAACCCCGTACTGAGTCTGTCAAGTTTAGGTGGGTTTGACCTCCATGTTTACACCTTACTGCAACGCAGGTTTCTCATTCAGTAATGTGGCTTGTCTTTATATTGTTTAACGTACATAATGTGTTTTCTGGTTTTTAATGTATGTGCTTTTTTGTTTATTATTGGCAGATTTTGACCCTCAAGTCAACTATTACTGGTTACGGGGAGAAAGGACTATTCCAGAGGGCCACAGGAGAGGACGGATCGAGCCCATGCGATTCCAGATTGATGACAAACCTCACAGTCAGATCAGGATCCCACAGCAACTTCCTGAGGTAGGGGCCCGTACCTCACATTATGTTTATGATGAATACAATTTGTGTAAATGTTAATCATGACTGCAGACAGTTTAAAGATGCAACTGTTTTACAATGTAAAATACAGAACCGGCTTTTCTGACAAGATGCGCGTTAAATATCGCATGCGATTTATCGTGCAGCCCTAGTCTGTGGTGATGTTACCTGGGAATGTTGGCATGCAGCGCTTAGGAGAAATAGCATTAATGTGTGATATATGTGCTTAATAGTGATGTAATATCTTGCAGTTTGTTCCTCTTGAGGCAGAAATCTCTGCTGAAGTTCCCGTTATCACTTTGGCTCCCGACCTGCTCCCCTTGTTCAGGAGACAGTATGACAACAACATCTTCATAGGTTGGTGTGTTCCAGTTTACATTATATTATTTTATTAATATTTTGAATTAACTTTTACATTTATATGGTCACTATTCATTTTAGTTTTAGCATTTGTATTTTTATCTCAGTTTTAGTACTTGTACATATTTTAGCTTATTTTATCTTAGTTCCAGAGACAACAGTTAAACTTTTGATTTTCGTTTTGTTTAATTTAATCTAATGTTCATCTTATTTTATTTCAGCTTTATTTTGATTTACCAGAAATGGTTTTTAATCGTTTTAGTTAAAACTCCCAGATTTTTGTCTTCAAATATCCCATGAAGCAACAGATATTTGCAACTCTAAATGCTGATTGGATGAGCCACAAAAGTTGCTGCACGTTCTGTATTACTGGAGAAAGTTGCTTTGTAACTGTAAAGGACTGAAATTTAGGCTAATGAACTATTATTACATAGAAAAAGAATTAGAAATTAAATGTCATTTGATTATTAAAAAAGTAAACTGTTTATTGAGCATTGGTGTCTTATCGCTTTGATGTTGCCAGTTGTACAAAAGCATCTGATAAGAACACTTGTGTTAAATCGCTGTAGTGCAGTGTTTCTCAACCAGGGGCCACTGGGGGGCCCCAATAAATCTTTCAATTCAGTTTTATTAAATATTAAAATGTTTAATAAAATGCTAATAAAAACAAAGTTTATTGACTTCTATTACATCAGAGGTAAAGAGCAAACTTGCTATCCATATTATATAGTATATATAGTATTATATAGTTTAAAGTTTAAATCCGTGACAGTATTCTGAAAGTATGTGCATGTTGTTTTACCCCACAGGTGCCAAACTGGAAGATCCATGCTGCTATGGTCACACACAGTTTCATGTGGTCCCTGACAGGTTCCGCAGGGACAAAATGAGCAAGAGGGGCCTCTCTGATCAGGTGGAGGTGTCACTGAGGGCCAACGGTATTGCCAGCCTGTTTGCATGGACAGGGGCGCAGGCTATGTATCAAGGTTGGTGTTTCTGTAATCTTTGGAATTGTCCTGAGCTCAGGTTAAGATCACCTTTCAATTGAATTGATCCATTTTTTTTTTTTACAATTGTAGGGCATTGACATGAATCAGCTCATGCATGCTTCCTTAATAACTAAATATGTTTTGATCTGCTCAGGCTTTTGGAGTGAGGAGGATGTGAGCAGGCCGTTTGTGTCTCAGGCTGTCATCACAGACGGGCAGTTCTTCTCATTTTTCTGCTATCAGCTCAATACTCTGGCTTTGAGTCCAAGGGCTGACGGTAACAATAGCAGGAAGAACGTATGCTGGGGCACAGAAAGCATGCAGCTGTATGAGAGAATCACAGACGGAGACATAGTGGGCTTGAACGATGCTGTTCTTAAACTGTTGCTGCAGTTTTTATTGAACAAACCACAGTGTTGAAAATTCTGAAAATGATATGATTGTTCTATGCATCAGTAAACATAATACATGGAGCTGCATACTATTTTTGTCTTCATTTAAGTTTAAGAATTTGTTTAAAAAAGTTTTTGTTTTGGATTTAAGTGCCCAAAATAGAACTGAAAATTAAAAGATTACACGAAATTGACGAATCAACAAATCACGATCATATTTGTATTTAAAGGAATAGTTCACCCAAAAATGAAAATTCTGTCATTTACTCACCCTCATGTCAGTCCAAACCCATAAGACTTTTCTTCATGTTTGAAACGCAAATGAAGACATTTTTGCAGGTTTGCTCTTTCTTTTCCTTAATTGAAATTCCAAGCAACCAAAAGCTCTCACACATCACAAAGTACAAAAATATATCATAAAGTAATCTGTATGAATCGAGCAATTTGAAATTTCAACTTTTCATCATATGAACCGATTTAATCCTTCAATAAAGTCTTCAGAAAAGTATTTTCTTTAGTTGACCTTTATTATTAAATTGACTTCCAAAAGGTCATATGAACACTTAAACCTTGGCAATAACACTATATTGAAGATTATGAAAACATGCCTTATATGTTTATTTAATATAGAGAATGTAATATACAGTAAATGAAGTCCTTAGCAATGCATATTACTAATCAAAAATGAAGTTTTGATATATTTACAGTAGGAAATTTGCTAAATATCTTCATGGAACGTGATCTTTACTTAATATCCTAATGATTTTTGGCATAAAAGAAAAATCGTTAATTTTGACCCATACGATGTATTTTGGGATATTGCTACAAATATACCCCCAGCGACTTAAGACTGGTTTTGTGCTCCAGGGTCACATATATGTTTACATATATTGCTGTGGCTGAATTAATTTAGGCAAAAAACCTTGCTTGTTACTTTATGTGATTCAAGCCACAAGATCATAAAGCAGAATAAAAAGATTTTACATAATCAAACACTTTTTTTTCAACTGTTCAAATGAAAACCTCAGTGCTCCAGTTTTCTTTGTCTTGCTGTGTTGTTCTCCACTCCATTGCTCTCATCACGAGTGCTAGAACAAAAATAAGCACCATCACTGCCAATGTCTGAAAAACCTCCAAGCAAGTGTAACTATTTTAATTTTTACCAAATATATTCAGTGAAGCTTTCAAAATCATATAAACTGATCTGAACACTTACAGATTGCTGGTTTGTTCAGAGCAGAGATCATTCTCTACAAATGCATAAATCCTTTGTTAATTTTAATTGGTGACGGCTCTATTTAAAGATTATTCATTAAAGTTTACTGTACCTCCTGCAGAAAAGTTGTCATTTTGCGGCTTGTTGCATTTTTCCCAAAGCAAAATCAGTGTGACGAGGACAATGACTTCAACCACTATAGCAATGAAGGGTTTGAGAGGCTCAGTATACGACAAGACCCTCAGCTCTATGTAAGACTCGCTGGGTTTGATATCAAACTCAGCGCTGCATATGTACTTTCCAGAATCTTCTTCAGTCAGATTCAGTACAGTCAGTTTTGTTTCATTTCCATTAATAAAGATCTTGTAGTTCAGGGGGTTTGCAGTAACATTAATGAGCTCCTGTGAAGAGAAAAACACTGATATGAACAGTGTTGTCATTGTTAACTAAATATTAAGTACAACTATTACAAATAATTTTGGTTAAACTTTATTTAAAGGTGTCCTTGTTACAGTGTATTTATACATTTTAGTACTGAGTAATATTAATTAACTACACGTACTTACTATAGGGTTAGGGTTTGTCTTAGGGTTTCTTGCATGTAATTATGCATAATTTATTGTTATTATAATAGTAAGAACATGTATCATGTGTAACAAGGACACCTTAAAATAAAGTGTTACCATAATTTTCAGTAAATGAAATAAAAGTATAAATTATATTAGCTGAAAAACTTTTTAAAAAATAGGTTTAGGTTGAAGTAGTATAATCAATCTCATATTCTCCATTTCTTTTTCACCTTTTCAGTATTGTTTGCCTTGTACCAGTTCCAGGTGTTTGGTGTGTGTTTGAGTTTACACTCCAGTACAACTGAATCTCCAGTGTAGCTCACTACCGGCTTGTCTCTTTTGTCTTTTATTACAGGAACTTGGGGGGGTGGGGGGAGCAAAATACATCAGGTTAACATAATCTAAATTATAAATATGATTGTATGAACCATTTAAAACAACACAGTATGTGCATAAAATGACAACATACCATCTAAAACAAATGTTACTTGTGCCTGATTTTCTCTGAAGATGCAGGAATAATTTCCCAGGTCTCTGGCATGTATACTGAAACTATGAAGCAGGTTAAACAGCTTGAATCAGTGTTAAGTCATTGTTTAGTAATACTGAATTGCTTATTTACTTCTTTAACATGTCTTATTTGCATTATTTTGCATTTATTAGAAACGACACATGATTATTTTCTGAAATAGACATCCACTTACGTCTTTTTAAGGATATACTGTTCATTGTTTCTATTTACAGTTTCTTCAGAGTTTTCAATTTCTTGTCCATCTTTAGTCCAATAGCCAGTAATGTACGGAGGGTTATTTGGTATATCAGTTAGGTTACATAAAAGCTCTATATCCTGGGGTGTCAGGATTGCAAGCTCTTCAATAATGACTTGATTTTGACCTGTATGCCAAGAAATTGTAGCCCAATCAGCAAACCAAACCTCTGCAATTCTGAACAATTCAATGTATTGTCTCTAGTAAAAGAAGCTATTTTTGATTATCTTATTATTCACATTTTAAAAGAATGCACCCAAAAATTAAAATTTGCTGAACATTTACTCGCCCTCAGGCCATCCAAGGTTTACATGAGTTTATTTCTTCATCGAAACAGATTTGGAGAAACGTAGCATTACCTCACTGGCTCATCTGGATCCTCTGCAGTGAATGGGTGCCGTCAGAATGAGAGTCTAAACAGCTGATGAAAACATCACAATAATCCACACGATTCCAGTCCATCAATTAATGTCTTGTGAAGCAGAAAACTGCATGTTTGTAAGAAACAAATCCATTATCAAGGCGTCGTTTCTGGCAAAAATATGACTCATCTATCCATAATATTGCTTCTTCCAGTGGAAAAGTCCATCTCCTGTTGTCCTCTTACATCAAAATCCACTGACATATTTGTTTAGATCTGTTTAAGACTTTTTAAGAAGTTTTTGCTTGAAAACAGTCATTTTTCAATGGAGAAAGCAAAATGGATAGAGGACTCATATTTTAGCTGGTAGCAACAGTTTAAGTTCAAAACATCTTGATGATGGATTTGTTTATTATAAACATGCAACTTTTCACTTCACAAGATGTTAATTGATGGACTGGAGTCGTGTAAATTATTTGTGGATTATTGTTATGTTTTCATCAGCTGTTTGGACTCTCATTCTGACGGCACCCATTCACTGCGGAGGATCCAATGGTGAGCAAGTGAGGTAATGCTACGTTTCTCCAAATCTGTTCCGATGTAGAAACAAACTCATCTGTATCTTGGATGGCCTGAGGGTGAATACATTTTTAGCAAATTTTCATTTTTGGTTAACTATTCCTGCAATCATTTTATCATTTGTACGCTTACAAATATCTGTTGATCTATTGATGTAATCTAGTGATGTCAAATGCATACTTGTTCTGGCTAATAATATACTGTATGACAGGGTAATCATACCTTTGGATACAACTTTTCGTGTTGTAATTACAGGATCAGACTGTGGGGAAGGGGTTGTTTCTAAAAAAACAAAAAAGAAAATAAAAGAAAAAAGACATGCCATATGAAGTTGCACTGAATAAGCAACACTACCAACTCACCATTCTGCTAGAGAGACGGGCCTAGTCAAGGTTAAATGAAAGTTGCATTACTTAGAAGCCTCGACCCAGCTTCATAAAACACCAAGGAATGATTTTAAAATTATTTACAATAATTTTACAATCACATTAACATCCACTAGAAACACTGGAAAAACCAACAGATCAGGGGACTAACTGATAACAAGGTCATAATGTCAAAGCTTGTAAAAAACAACAAGGCCCTATAAATGTTACACTACACTAAGAAGCAGACATGCACATACCAGTGTTCATCCCATCACAGTAGAGAAGTAAGATGAGATGTCTGACGCTAGCCATGGAGAAGAGCACTCTTAGGCTGCAGCTGTGCTGTGTGTGGCTGGGGCGAGGCATCTCTTCTGGTGCTTCTTTTTCAGAAGCAGGTCCCCAGAGACACCAACCCCCCTCCCTTCACTACTGCAGCCATGGTGACTAGGCATGACTGGTGTATGCTTCAAACTTCCTGTTTTAAATTAATCATGAGTGTCAGGAGGCGGCCACAGCCCTGCCTGATCAAATGATTGGAAATCCTGTAACATCACCCTCTATTCAGATGGAGCAGGTACTGTGACCAGTGCTGGCACAACTTGGTGTTTAACAACTTCAGATTCACACCTCATCTGTGTGGTACACTCTGTATTCACAAATGTGGATGTAGTTATAAGTGTAGCCTTTTATTTATTTTATGTGCTTTTCATGTGCTGAGAAAAGCAGTGTGCAATGGAGGATCGTATTACTTACAGTCCTTTAATATTAATTGCAAACTGACAGTTTGCTGAGTTCCTGTACTTTCTGTTCAACACTGTTATGCTGTGACTTTGACCTCTTTTAACATTTCTTGACATTATATCATATATCATTAAAAAACATTTTTTTATTTATTTATTTTGTGTAAGCACATGGTTTAAACAGAGGTAAATGTCTCTTGTAGTCAGTATTTCATTGTATACACCTGATAGACTAAAACTCAGTAGTTCAACTGTTTTATGGGACGAAAATACAGTCCAGTCCGGAAGTATTCGGACACTGAATACTGTGTCTGACTTTGTGCTTTTGTCTTTATACACCACTACAGTGGATCTGAAATAAAGTGCAGACTTTAAGCTTTAATCCAAGGGGTTGAACAAAAATATAAAATGCTTAGATATATACAACCATTTTTATACACAGCCCCCCATTTTCAGGGGCTCAAATGTAATTGGACAAATAAATGTAATCATAAATAAAATGTTAATTTTTAATATTTTGTTGAGAATCCTTTGCAGGCAATGACTGCCTTAAGTCTGGAACAAATAGACATCACCAGAGACTGGGTTTCCTAGTTTGCCATGCTTTGCCAGGCCTTTAATGCAGCTGACTTCAGTTGTCGTTGGTCTTTCTGCCTTTAGTTTTATCTTCAGCAAGTGAAATGCATGCTCAATTGGGTTGAGATCAGGAGACTGACTTGGCCACTGCAGAATATTCCACTTTTTTACTTTCAAAAACTCCTGGGTTGCTTTTGCTGTATGTTTTGGGTCATTGTGCACTTGTACTATGAAGCGCTGCCCAATCAGCTTTGCTGCATTTGACTGAATCTGGGCAGACAGTATGTTCCTATACACTTCAGAATTCTTCCGGCTGCTTCTGTCTTCTGTCACGTCACTAAACAGCAGTAACCCAGTGCCACTGGAAGCCATGCACGCTCATGCTATCACACTGCTCCACCATGTTTCACAGATGATGTTTGCTTTGGATCATGAGCTGTTCCAAGCCTTCTATATACTTTTTTCTTCTCATCATTCTGGTACAGTTTGATCTTAATATCAGCCGCCCAAAGAATGCTTTTCCAGAACTGGTCAGGCTTTATCTAAGTCTTTGTTTTCACCTTGTGGTGAATCGATTCTCTGATCATCCACCACTGTTGTCCTCCGTGGACGTCCAGGTCTTTTTATGTAGCTGAGCTCACCAGTGCCTTCTTTTTTCTCAGAATGAACCAAACTGTTGATTTGGCCACTTCTAATGGGGGGAGGTACATATTAAAGAGCTGTAATTCCTTAACCTTTCCTCAAATTGTGATGTGAATACCCTCAAATTAATAATCAGAGTGTGCACTTTAAGCCAATATTCATTGTAACTTGAATATGTTTTGGTCAATAGATAAAATAATAAAAACTGTGCCTGTGTCAAAATATATGACCTAACTGCATGTGTGTGTGTGTGTGTGTGTGTGTATAATTACTGTAAGTGTCTGGCACAAACATTCTCATTTTATCCTAACCAGTAAGACCTTGACAAAATTGCAAATGAAGAGCAAAAGATTAATTAATCTGTTTTCTGACAATAGAAACAAAGGGCTCAGACCAGCTGATGGAATTTGGCAGAATATGGTTACTCTTTTTTTGGCCACGGTCATGCAGGATGTTCTTGGTGATGCAACTGCAGGGCTGTCGCACAGAAAAGCCTCTCATTGGATTTACTCTGATAGACCAATCCTGAAGCTAAAGCTTGATTGGGGAAAAAAGGAAAGCAGTAGAGTATCTTTTGTTTTTTGGAAGGAACATCAGTTCTCATTCATTGTGATCAGCCAGTTGAAGAAACAAGAACAACTAGCAAAATGTCTCATGATGGAATGTCCAGAGAAGAATATGAGGAGTATCAGAAGCAGATGGTGGACGAAAAGTAAGTCGTTACACCAAATACACAAAATAATGATCTTTAAAAAAGCATCATATGACCCCTTTAAAAACATTGGCCATTCAAGTCCATTTTATCCAGGAGGTTTTCAATAATGTTGTAAATTCAAGTGAGTATTAAATTCACAAGGAACAAACTGAAATATATCAGCCAATTTTCAAACACATTTTTAATAATTGTTTTGTGATGTGAAGCATAACTTTCACATGATACTCATGTTAGTATCATGTGATACTCATGTTAGCATTGGTTGAGTGGTGAAAGAAATCGCATCCCCTATATTTCAACTATTATAAATACATGTTAAATTTATTAAATGTGTTAAATGTATACATTACATGAAGTACCCTGATGCTGTGCTGTTTTCTGATAACACTGTTGTAACAGTTCTTGACTGCTGCTTACGTTCCTGTTCATTTTCTACTTCTGTTCTTTGTGCTTTTCTCATCTCCTGTACATTGCCTGCTTCTTTGGGAATAAAGAATGGAGAGAGATGCAGAATATGCTACAAGAAAGGCAGAAAGGGCTTGTCTGAGGACTTGTTTAAGAGAAAAATATCGAATTCCAAAGGTGAGAGTCCCAGGAGAAGATAAACAAATCTCTTTCAGTAATTTAGCTATTCCTGTCCCTGACTGACTGTGCTTAAGCAGCACATGGATAGCATCAGTTTGCAGAGATGGTTAAGCTATCAAGTGTGTGAAGGTTGCAGTGCAGATTGTGGCAGGAGATCAAGGCATAATGTAGTAAACTAAAATAATGAGTCTGGATGTTCAGGGTTTAACCACCTGCAGTGCTTAATCCCTAAAGTGAGCTTTAACAGCACTGCTATAGAGCTGTCAAACTGTGTGCAGTTTCATGTGGATGAAGAGAGAAGTTGAACTCCTTAGAGAAAATGTATAAAAATTAAAATGGAGTTATTATTTTACATGACTTTTCCAGGTCTAGAAGTCACATTTATAATTAGGGTACCTCTAGGCTAGGTTACCTATAAGAAAATATCTTTATTTTTTAGTTGGTTTAGCTTCTTTTACAACTTTTGTCTAATTTGAAATTAAATGGGAGTAATTCTGTGCCCCCCTTAGAAGTTTGCTAAGGCCCCCTATATAGTGGCCCTGGCTCTGGCCCCCTGGTTGTGAACCATAGATATAAAATCTATAGTCACAGTGATGCAATTCAATTAATGTAGTGCACACTTAAGGTTAGTATAGAAATAAACTATTAACATTTTGCAAAGCTGTAACCATATATTCGGCATTTGAAGTGTTAGATCAGATTTTTTTCCGAAATGAATGTTAATTTTATAATAAGTTAATTATCATCATTAATAATCACAGAGGCAACTGTACTTATTATTAAACAAACTTAAGTAAATAAATAAATAGTCTAGTCCTTTTTTTATTCTACACAAGGCCTTCATAAAGTTGAAAATGATTAATTATTCTATTCTCCGATGACATAAAATTCTCTTTAAAGAAACTATTAATTATATCTACATAAAATACATATAATTAATAATAAAAAAATCTACTTAAATCATAAAAAACTTTCAGGTATTTTTTTATAATGAACATATTTACTTTTCCTTTATTTCAAAGAATGCTTTCTTATTGTTATTTCATTTAATGTCTTTTTATTTTTCATTATTTCTAATCAAACTGGCTCGCTAAACTACTGTAAGTAAAAAAGTGTCATAGGTATGGCCAGTATCTGTACAAAATAAAAACTAAAATATTGCATGCTCTAATCAACACTTTAATCATTTTAAAAAGAAAACAAATAAGTATCAAATCAGCATCCTGAGAGACAATGTGACTATTTATTGAAGTAGTTTAAATAGGTAAAATCACCTCATGCTCTGTTTTATTTATTAAAGTCTTGCTTGAGGCATGTCTGCAAACTATGGGTTCTGGGTGTGTAATCCTTACTTGTTTTTTAAAAAGCCTTTTTCCAAAAGGTACATCTGGAAAAAGGGGGGTCGTCTTATAATCAGGGTCATCTTATATTCGGGCCAATACGTATGAGCAAAGAAGTGCTATTAGATTTATCTGGTTTGATTGACATGCGGTTTGTTTTTCTCACAGTGAACAGGATGAGATTATGATCCAGCAGGCCGGAGATGACATTGACGTGCCAGAAGAACTGATCAAGATGGTGGATGGAGAGGCGCCACAGGAGGAGGAAAAGGAGTCCATCATGGGTCAAATGCAGAACCTTCAGAACATGGATATGGGGCAGCTCAAAGAAAAGGCTCAGGCCACATTTGTGGAGATGAAATCCAAGGCTGAGGAGAAGTGCACTCTTGTGTAATGTGTAGAGGAAGTCAAAGTCATCTAGTTGTCTAACGTCTTGATGACACGCATTTGCTTATGCAGTGAAACGATTAAGTTTCCATTTCCTGAGAAATATTGATCACACAAGAGATGAATGTCATTGTTCAGAAATTTATTCCGAGTTCTTTTGTTTGGTTTCTCGTTTTTCTTTTTAATCAATAGTTTGTTTTTATCGATTTATTTTTTTATCAAATTGTGACTGACTTTCTCATTGAGTAATCTTACATTACAAAGTCAGAGTTATGACCAATATCTACATACTAAAAGATAATCATGACATTTGATTCATGCACTTTTTGTTTAAAAATAAAGATTATTTTTCTAAATATGTTTAAAATCCATATGAAAAAAAGAGACGTTTTGAGATGTAATAAGGTGACAGGATTTTTAACAAATTATAATTTTAAAGGACTAAATACTTACAGTAACAGTGCTACAGTATTTTCTTTACGCTAAAATATTTTGAAGGTGCCGTAATAAGTTAGTCACATGAAAGTAAAGACTGAAAACTGATAGAGATGAGACAATCACTTGAGATGATACATTTTTGCATTACAATCACCACCAAATGCAAAAGAATGCAATCAACGTATGAAAGAATTAATTTTAGTTGATTTATAAAGTGGTCATTAATCGATAGACAACATTTTAACAGCTGTTGCAATGCGGTGTCCCAAGTTCAAATCCCGACTCGAGGACCTTTCCCAATCCCACCCCCTCTCTCTCTCTCCCTTCGCTACATCTGATCTGTCCTATCATAATAATAATAAAAAAATAAAATCTTTAAAAAAAAAACGGAAAAAGAAAAATACACCCTTGACATTTAATATACTAACTACACAGTCTTTAAAGGGGCACTTCAGCTTACATGATAATTTTTCTCATAATTTATTCATTCTAATGCCGTTCTGGATGTATATGACTTTTTGGACAACTTTTTAGACTTTTTGACAAAGCCGATGCTTCACAAAGCAAACACGACAGTAATCCATACGACCCCAGTTGATGAATCAATGTTCTCTGAAGCAAAACACCACAAGTATATGAGAAAAACACTAATATTTACTAACTTTAACTAAACCATTGCTTCCATAGCTGGGGTCAGATGGATTGCCATCAAGTTCACTTTGTGTGGTTTTTAATTTTTGAAGTGCCAACTTTGGTGATCCCATACACTTCCATTATATAGATTCACCGAGATGGATTTTTCTAAAAAAATCTGTGTTCATTGAAGGAAAGTCAGTCATATACATCTGGGATGGCTAAATGATGAGAATTTTTCATTTTTGTGTGGAGTATCCCTTTAATCATTGGTTTAACGCGGTGTACTCACTCAGGGATGGTTATAGAGTTGCAAACTATTCATGAACTCATTCTGCATGTCGTCAATGTCATCAGTGGTCTCAATGGGAATACTTGGTGGGTTCAGGAAGGGTGAGCATGGCATATTCTCATATTGATATGTATGGTCACCGTATAATCTAAAGTCCCCATAACCCCCTACAGCTCCGTGGAGGGGCTCACAGACGTTGAGGTAGGGGTTGGTGTGCTGCTGGGGGCCCTGGCTGTGGAAGCGGCGGTCAGACGCGGGACTGTGGCTGGGGCTGGTCGAGGGGCTGTGTGGCATGTGACACGTCAGCTGACAGCTGTTCTTCCTGGTGGGACGGTTGAGATCCAGTTTGGCAGTGAGGGGCTTGCCGACGTTAACGTCCATGTTCCACTGGACCAGGTCGTCTAGGGAGTTAAACTGGACGTGTAGGCAGACAGTGAAAGCTAGTTCCTCCTGTAAATCAGGAAGAAGGAAAAATAGGTATCAAGGTAGTTTTGAATTATATATGTAATGTAAATCAGATCTAAATAAATATTGTCAGTCAGTCTTGAGCTGTACCTTGAGTTTCTGCAGTGAACCGAGTCTGGTGTAGAGGCAGTGCTGAGGAAGACTCCCTGAAAGTAGGAAGCTTCCTGTTTCCTCCAGAGTTTCTTTATTCATCAGCTTAGGGTCCACATCCAGATCCTTCAAAAGTCAGGTAATAGGAAAAACATTATTTATTGCAAACATATGTTAAGAAACATGTTTCATGTTTTATTTATAGGCAATATAGGCATTATGGAATATTGACAAGAATGCTATTAGTCCAATTCTTAAAAAAAACAAAAAACTGATTAGTTTATACTGTGCAGCTAAATAATTAGACTGAATAGTATTTTACATTGACTTCTGCAGATATACACTACTGGTGAAAAGTTAGGATTTTTAAATATTTTTGAAAGAAGGTTCTTATGGTCACCAAGGCTGCATTTATCTGCTCACAATATACAGTAAAAACTGTAATATTTAAAAATATTATTACAATCTACAATAACTGTTTTTTATTTTAATGCATTTTTCTGTGATGGCAAAGCTAAATTTTCAGCAGTCATTACTCCAGTCTTCAGAAATCATTCAAATATGCGTATTTGCTGATCACAAAACATTTCTTATTATTATCAATGTTGAAAACAGTTGTGCGGTTTTCAACATTGTTATATTTTTGTGGAAAATGTGATACATTCTTTGATGAATAGAGAATTCAGTGGAACAGCATTTTTAAATAGAAATTGTATTAACATTTTTTATTATTACTTTTGATCCATTTAATGTGTCCTTTTTTTTTTTTAAAGATGTGTCCCCGCATCTTTTAATGGTAGTGATTAAGAATAATTGCCGTTTCTTTCTCCAAAATAAAAACAAAGACCACTAACCAAAGGGAGGTTAGTTATGTGTGCCTGACAAGACAGCATCTCTTCTGGCTTTTTCACAATGCTGGTGTAGATGACCAGCACATTGGAAAACTCAGCAGCAAAGTCCATTTTTATCTGAACTCCACATTCAAAGTCCAGAATTTTACTCTCCGGCAGTTCTGGGTTGAAACACAAATGCAAAAGTTTGACAAATGCTGAGAAAAACTACATTTACAGTACTATAGTATTTCACTCGTCAAAAACTATCATCTGTTAATATCATCAGATGAGATGATAGGAATCATGTCATGACGAAATGAAAATAGTTGTTTGATCAAGTTTTTTTTTTGGTATTGTCAACAATGATGGAAATTAGGAAAAATATGCTTCATGATAATAATTAAATGATTTCAATTAAAACACTGTTGATGAAAATATGGTGAGGAAGAAATAACTAATATATATATATGGTTTTTATAAATACAATTGTTACTTCATTTAATAATGTTTTAAAATGGAATATATAAAATTAGATATATTATGAAATTATACTATTTAGATATATTATGAAATTATACTATATAAATATATTATAATATTTTCATTACTAGTAATCACGAAAAATGTTATTTTTATTAACAACATTTTTTTGTATACATTTAATTTTGACAAAAAAAAAAAAAGTTAACCTATTTTATATGGTTATTCAAATGAGTTGCACAATATTGTGAAGTAGCTGACATTACCATGTGCTTTAGACCAGAGCATGTTGTGTGCCTCGGCTGCATCGGAGTAGTCCCCGGGGCGGATGGGATCGGTGAGGGACCGTCTCTCTGACAGGCTGCTGCGGATCTCTAGAGCCTGCTTACCCTTTGTGGGGTCAAACTGACCCATATCTACAAACAATCAGAACAGTAGTTTGATTGTCAAGACATGCAACCAAACATGAGTAGATGAAATATAAATTTGATTTATTTTAATATTTAAAATGAATCTTTGAAGTAGTAGTCAAAGTGCAAAATAAGTACTGAAAGTAGTAGTACACTTTTCCAATCAGTTAATAATTTGTTTGAGCTTAATGGACCTGCATTTAACTAATAAACGCTGTAACTCTTCATTTAACTTTAACATGCTCAAGGTTCCCTCACCTTCAGCCACACTGTCTAGCAAAACCGTTATCTTCTCATCCTCTAGGAGGCGCTCCTTCAGGAATTTAATAAAGACTCCATTGGTGAATCCACTTGAACTCAGTTCAAAAGCCTCAGCATCTTGGCAACTTCACAAACATAATATATCTCAACATAACTTAAAGTAACATAAAGTAAACAAAATGTACTTCAGCATGTTATTTCTGGATGAAAAAGAAAGACACTCAGTAACTCACGTGGCATATCCAAACACAATATTGGCTGTAACTTTGAGCACAACATTTGGTGTGGCATCGTCATGTAGATTTCTGAAGCAATAAATTAGTGTTAGAATGATGACAACCAATGTATGAATTCCCAATGCGAATATGATATAAAGCCACAAAATGAACACCTTTTCCTGCACATGTCGAGGAGGAAGACATTGAGTCCAGTCTCCTTCTCCTGCATCAGTTTCAGAATGCTCTGAACACAGAGACAGTTGCCTGAACGGTATGGATTTGGGGCATCAACAGGCACCATGAAGCTGTTCCCAAAGTTCTCATAACCATGTCCAGCATAATACAACAAACCTAAAGGGAGGAGCAATCGTCAAAGAGTCATTTCATAAAAAAAAGAAAATTCTGACATCATTTACTCACTCTCATGTCATTCCAAACCTGTATGACTTTCTTCTGGTGAACACTAAATAATATATAGAAGATATTTTACAGAGTGTATTGTCTGTTATTTTCCACACAATGAAAGTGGATAGTGAATCACTTTCAACCTCCAAAAAGGACCAAAAAAGTACCATAAAAGAAGCTCAGTTTGACACGTTTACTATATTACATAAGTCATATGATAGCTTTGCATGAAGCATTAACCAAACATTTACCCAAACCAAAAGCTTTCTCTTGGCTGAAGATGACAATTTGAACTTGTGTACATATCAGGCATGTGACGGTATCACATTTACGTATCACAATGAGTGCTGAAACATTTATCACAGTATACGGTATTGCATTGAATTACAAAAACAGGCTGAAAAGATCAACAAACTTCAGTGTTATTCTATTAAAAACAAGTTCAACAACTTAAAAAAAAAAAAAAAAAAAGAACTTGAACATTTAAAAACATTTAAATAAAACATTGCATAATACACTATAAAGAACTATAAAGAACAAAACAATTGGAACCAATATCAAGATCTTTTCTGGCTTGCATGTTTTAGTCCAGTTAGAAATG